TCCGAACTCGCTGTATTGGGCTTGGTTTTCGAACTTGGTCTTTTTGGAGTTGCTTTTTTGAACTTGTTTTATTTGGTTTTGGAACTTCTTACACACGGTTTTTCCAACTTTGTTTGTTGGAGCAGTTTGTTTATGACCGGTTAATTATTTTAGGGCGATTAGGCCCTACGATAAATTGTGACGGATTCGGAAGGATGTAGGCCAGGGCCGGCTTAAGGGACGATCCTTGTATTCCCCATATGCGATTCAGGAAAATCACGACTTTCTTCATTTTAGCCGAATGACCGTCCAATATTAGAATCGGTGGCTTTCAACACTAAATAGAAGCGCCACAAACTGCTTCGTTTGGCGACGTGTCCTTGTCTGTTGAGTTTTCGATGTCAAAAATATCTCATGAATTGATGGCATGGTTTGCCATGTAATTTCATTAACAACCTGTCGTATCCTAAATAGGGCGATTTCACAACATATGTAGTGACATCTTCACACCGTACAAAACTACTACTATAAGAACTCCACTTACTTACGACAGATGCCACAAGAAGTCACCAGTTATGTGATGACTTTAAAATCGTTGATTGTGAAGTCAAAGAGTCGGCAACGTGATAATATGGTGTAATTCTGTGTTATTAAGTGCGGATTATAAACAGTAATCGTGCGGGTTATGCTTTTTATCGTTCGAGTTACGCGTTTATGATACGATATTGAAGTATCAGTAACATTATGGAAAAGGAAAGGTAAATATTGTAAATGTCGTGAATTTTTGGTTTGTTTGAATATGTACTTAACCTAATATTAAATATTTTTAGTAAGATTGTCCCTGTTATAGTGTAGGAAGACAGTGTTTACTATAAAGAACATGCAAATTATTTACTTTCCCTCTCTACTATAATATGAATACTTATAGATATGTTTACTGTTCCAGGTTCTCGTTACTTTTACTAGAACCTGCAGAAATATATTTTGAAGATTTCAGTGCCTTTTTATTCCCAGTTGATGCTAATGAACATGACTTTGAGAAGAAGAAACAAATTGGACGGCTCAAAATGTGTTCAAAGTCAATTGTGTTTGATCCTAAGGATATAAACAAACCACTTATAAAGATTTCTCTCAAAGAATGTTTAAACATATCAGAATGGGATGGAGAACTTGCAGCTAAGTATGTTATGTTAATATATACTAGGTGTACTGTGTTTGCTCATATAATTCCATTAGTTTTATTTCCAACTTTATAAATATAAAATGGAAAGGGAGAAATATGCAGGTATCGTCACATACTACGTTTCCGTGGTAAAGCAGTTGAATTCCTGATATGGGTTTTGTCTGGAAAACCCCCATTCTAGCTTGATTTTCCTAAATTTTTCCAGGATGTGTCCAGGCTAATCCCTCCCATCTTATTCTGTATAATCATTGTCATATCCCATTTGGTATTACAGGTTTATGTCACTTATTCAGGTACAAAATAATTGTCATCACAAATGCAATTGAATGTTAATGAAAACATAGGGACTTTGTTATTCTCATGATAGACCCAAAGGTCTGTTCCAGTTATGTAGGTTGACTTCCCATCTTCTTCTCAGACATATTTTATTTTCATGTTATGTAGTCTAACAGTTTAATATTTTGTATATCATGCAGTGATATTGGCAGAAACTGATTTTGAAGAGTGGACTGTACTACTCTGGATTAGAATTATAGCTCAGTTTTGGTTTGATTTATTCCATGATGTTTTTTTCTAAGAACATTGTTTTGATGGGTGGAAGGAATTTCCATTTTAAGTTGATATCACGGGAAGGGTATGGGTAGGAATAGGAAATATTGATCTATTATTGTTGTAAGAAACACATTTTAATTTATCATCACTTTACTTCGTCACTTAATGTGAACATAAATGATCTCTGTTTTCTTCTTTAGATTATCTCCAAAAAATAATGTTATTGCTGTGAACTGCAAACAGTATGTGGAGATGCTGGCAGGAAATGTGCTGGCTCCATATTCATTTATAGCTGTAAGTCCTGTTTTTTTAAAATTTTATTAGCAAATATTGCTTATTGTTACCCGTATTACTTTGAAACATAAGATAAAAATAATTTGTTTCAAATCATGAATTGTTCATGTATGATGGGATTGAGTTTAATGCTGTTTGGACTTGTAGGAAAATACCAATACTAAAGAAGAACTTCATCCCTGAAGATGTAAGTAGTATGTGCCTCGAAAATGTATCTCCCTACAAGTCCACATAGCATTACAACCCACAAGACTAACTTGAACATATTTAATGCTGTTTTTATATTCCTTCAGTGAGTTTCTATAAAAGTTTTTAAATGTCATGGAATTTTTAACTTTATTTTTATCTCCACTGAAGAACTTGTTTTGACAAGTTTGAAGCTGCCATGGGCATTAGTGGCTGATAAATTTTAAGAGATGTAGCATGGTCAGTTTATTTGGGTTATGTGATGTAGAAAATTGTTATTAAATTTATAGTATCATAAATATTTGTTACGAACAATATAATCAGTATTCATAATTTTGAAATTCTTACAAAATTTAGTTAAAAAATAACTAAATTAGCTTTCATATTTTGATATAATAAGCTAGATGAGGGAAAAAATAAAACATACAATTATGTTGCTTCAGTGTTTATTTTATCACACATGGTAGTCTTGATTCCCTCACAGCAGCATCCTTTTGCATGGTGTTTGTTACAGTTTTTTACTTTTAATTAAATCTCATTTTGGTAACTGACAAAGCCATGCATATTCTATGCAAGAGTGTACTTATTCTTCCAGTTTTGGATATATAAGCACAATGCCTAAAACTGACATCTTGTTTGTTTTTATTTTTAGGAAAAGCATAAGTTTCTTTTCCTTTTAAATTATGCCCGACTTACAGACTGTCTACCACAGATATGCCAGCTTCACCGTGCGTCAACTCTACCAGCAGCTGAGCAAAGCAGTATGGTAAGACAGGAAATGTTTATCTATATTAACTATTGTCTGTAAGGTCTATAGCAAATGTTAGGAAAATTTGTGATGCAAGAAAAGGACACTGATATACACAATTTGTTTCCAACTTGTATGGACAAAAATAGAAAATAAAAACTGTGTAACAATGTTTATGATAATTGTTCCCAGTTATATATTTGTTTGTGTGGAGATTTGAAAATTGTAGTTAAATTGAAATTTTCTGCCTAAACCAAACTGAATTGAAATTTTAATATTACATACCATTTCATATTCTTACAGATTGCTGCTATAGTGTACTCTCGTCAGAGTCGTGTTAGTTTTGACACGCTGTGGCTGGAGGACCTGTATGAGAAGGTGATCCTAGAGACTCAAGGGAGCAAAATTACTCCTCTTGTAGTGAACCCTGGCAGAATTCTGCTCACATCATCAAGACTTTACTTCCAGCCTTATAACAACGTAGAATCTGTGAGTTGGTGTGTAATTTGACTTCTAGTAGTTATAATTTACAGCATATTTGGATGAATTGTTTTGTATAGTGCTGTGAAGCATTTGTTGCTGCACTATAAGACCATCAGCTTATGCTGTTATATGAATTGTGTTGTTAAATAATTGTTTATTTGGATATCTTGCCATTTATTGGTGACATTTAAAATTTTACTTTTATTTTATTATCGGATGAATGACTGAAATATTGTTGGTTTCAAAGGAATCTGCATGTTCCTATAAGCCACACTGTTGGAGTTCAACCACCGCTCTAGCAGCAAATGAAGAGTGACTTTCTCGGTTACCTTGTTATTTAAATTCCACTTAATAATTATGTAGCCAAAGAAACTATAATGAAGATTTTGAAATGTAACTTTACAACTCTTACTGAAGAAAATTGATAAATGTGAATAAAAATATATCAAGTGTTCATAGAGAATTTTGTATTTGTTATACGTGTATTTATAGCTGTTCTCCTTTATAACACTTTACTGTCTATTTGATGATCCTTATCATTTTAGCAGTCAGTGATGCAAAAATTATTTATATTTTCTTATTTCTTGTAAACATTTTTAATCATTTACTCTGAACCATACAGATATGAACATTTTGTATTAAATTTTTTAATCATGTATTTAAATTGGTGTAAGACCTGGATGAAATTCTTTGATAAGTTTTCGTGTATGTCACAGTATCCTGTCTTGAAGATTCGCCTTCCAGATATCAGAAGAATTGTGCAGAGGAGATTTCTTTTGAGGCAAGTGGTAAGTACAATGCAAGCAACAGATTTTGGTCTGTAAATAACTTTTAACAGTGATACTCCATATTTATATTTCAGAAAAATGTATTTCTATCACAGTTTATTATAATTACATTCATATGTACTATATATAATCCTCGCTGGTAAATATTCCTATAATATGCACTTTTCTTGGACAGTTACACATTTATGTTAGTAATGCTGAAAATAATTCTATAGCTCCTATCAAAAATTTGGATGTTAGTTATTGTCTTCATCTTTTTCATCAGCTGCTTGCATTTTTTTTAAGTTTTCAGTATTGTTTTATTTTTATTTAAATATAGTTTGTCAAATTTGTTTTATTTTAATTATATGTTAATTTAATTTTACTTTAATTTGATTTATGTTGTAATATGTTTTTAATACAGTACAATTTTACTTTAGTTTAATTTTAATTTTTGCTTTTGTTTAATTTACTTTTTAAATTTTATTGCAAGTGCTTACATGGTTTATAATGGGACAGCTTTACTTACTTACTTTTTTCAGTTATGGAAAGCTGTAGAATGTAATGCTAGTCTTTGTGGAACATTGATAAAAGATAAAGAGAAGCATGTCATTACTAAGAGAATTAAAGGTGGAAGTACTGTAACAACATTTTGTAAGAAGATTTCTGTCTTCTGGGTTGTTGCGCAGTGTTGTCTGGTTGATGCTAACCAACGTTTTAGAGGTCATACTGCCTCCATCATCGCCCTGATGACGGAGGCAGTATGACCTCTGAAACGTTGGTTAGCATCGACCAGACTACATGGCGCAACAACCCAGAAGACAGAAATCTTCATACTCACCGCTGTGAAAACCTCAAATCTTACAACATTTTGTAATTCTCTCGTGTTTGCTTCTTGTGAAAATTTTACTTTTCAGGGCCTTGAAATATACTGTGATAACAATAGCCAAGTGACTCATCTGTACTTATCATTTAAATCAGAAGTAGAGAGAGATTCCCTTTACCATGGACTTATGGACCAACCTTGTGTGCATTTGGAGAACACAGAGCAGGAGATGATGACTCTGCAGTGGCAGAATGGAGTATTGTCTAATTATGATTATCTCCTGTATATTAATAGGTATGGAGTGTACTTTCTTTCACCTCTTTTATTTTAGTGTCCCTGTAACCATACATGCATGATTAGGTGTATTCACAATGAATTGTATTAATTAGCTAATTAATTAACTCTGTAGGGCAGAGTTATTGAGAAGATATTTTTTTGTAACTCAGCTGGTCAAGAAATTGCATGTCTTTTTTGATAAACAAGGGTTCATTACCATTTTCACAAGAGCCTACCTCTAATACCTGTTTCAAGCCGTATGAAATCTCACTCTGTTTTTTTTAAGACCCAGTTTAATATTATCCTCCTGTTTGTGCTGAGGTCTTCTAAGTCTCTTCACATTCAGTTTTTCTCTCTGAAATGTATGCTTTTATCATCACTCCCTTACATGCTACATGCCTTGTCCATCCCATCATATTTTATTAAATATCCCTAATAGTATTTCCTTCATTGTCTGATTAATCAGAAATGGTTACAGAATGAACATGTATGTGGTGATGATCAGTTTGCAACAGACATTTTAAGATAATTTTAATTGTATATCTCATTCAGGGTGTTCCTGCTGTAGAGGCATATTTTATGCACAGAACGATGAAGAAAGTCTGTGTTAGAATGGATTCTTGAATGCTTTGACTTTCAGTCATGGTGTATTTTATTTTGATAACAGAAAGATAAAAATAAAGTGTAAACCCATCCACGGGAAGCATTTATTTATATATCATTGATTCCACCTATATTCTATACTTTTTCTTCTAGTATGGCTGACAGAACATTTAATGACCTCACTCAGTATCCAGTTTTCCCTTGGGTGATAAAGGATTACTCATCCTCAGAACTGAATTTGGATGATCCTAAATCATACAGGAACCTTAGTAAACCAGTTGGAGCTCTAAGCGAGGTTCGTCTGGCCAGATTAAAGGTCAGTATGAAGTGAAATGTGGCATTATGGGAATACTAGGAAGTTCAAAGTACATTGAAGATTGCAGTGGTTTTAATAAAGTATCACATGAATTACATTCTGTTTATTTCTTATCCTACAATACTTTGTTTCAAAGTATTTATAAAACGGTCAGTTTGTTGCAGTTATTAATTGTATTAGAAGAGAATTGTATAAGTTAAAATACTGAAACTAGTCCAAGCCAATAAAAAATACATTCTTCAAGATTTCTGTTTAATAGAGCAAAGTCACACGTAACTTCATGGATTGAAAATTATTCTGTTATCTGGAAAGTATTGTCTTCTAAATGGTTTAGCCTGTGAAGTTGTAACCACATCTTTCAAGCCAATAAGTATATAAGTAGTGCTTCAGATGTATAGGCATATATGTCTAAATTGCAATGCTGTTTGAAGCTTTCACTAAACTCAATAAAATCCTTTCAAGCCATCAGCCATTCAAGTGGTCAAAATAAATCAATGTTTGAGGAACCATCACTATCATAAATAATTTGATGTGACTGGGTATCTCAAATATCCCCTGTATATACCTGCTTCGAACCAGTATGTGTGGCTTGGCTCTAGCCAATAGGAGCTAGTGCGATGAGTCAAGCATTTGCTTTGCTCGATTTTGCTTTTTCGTTATTATTTCACTGGACACAATTAAAAGCATGTTTGGTACAAGATACCTATCTGTTAAATTACTTAGGTGCAGTTAGATGTGTTGCTTCTGTCACAAGGCAGTTTATGTATTCTGTTTATATATATAGAGAGAGAGGGGGGGGGGGTACTGTTAACATCAGTTCTGTGTTCCACTTTAATGCTCCAACACAGCAGACTTCTTTTCTATTTTCCTACAAAATCAATTTATATCTGATTTCTGATCTGACTGCATTTTTCAGGAGCGCTGTAAAGAAATGTCTCCACCAAAGTTCTTGTACGGCTCTCACTACTCAGCACCAGGATTTGCTTTGTTCTATTTAGTGAGGAAGTTTCCACATTACATGCTTTGTCTTCAGAATGGAAGGTTTGATCATCCTGATCGTATGTTCAACAGGTAATCAATCGCCTATTACCAATGGTGCCACCTAATCTAGTATCATAAAATTATGTATGGTAATACATTTTTGAAAATATGTTACTTTTTTGCAGGATATAAGAATGAAGAATGTAATTTATATCTAATATTTAGTTTTTTGGCAATAATTGGTAAACCACTGCAGCTAGGAATGAGAAATGTGATGTGGAACTAATCATAAATACGAGGCGCGTCCACAAAGTAAGTTTCCCACTCGTCCCACAGCTAGCAAACCTTATATTGCGCGAAGCGACTGCGTACGTGATAGAGCAATGACGTAGCATGGCACATGCACTAACGGTACTTCCCGCGTTCTCACAGTAGCATCGTTGCAGCTGTTGAAGTTGGAGGTTCTTATTCCAGCTCCCGTCGACTGTGAAGTGCTGTCAGTGATAACGCTAGGCCGCACACGGCTCGACGGACAGCAAGTCTCCTGCAGGAGTTCAGCTGGGAGGTGTTTAATCATTCACCCTACAGCACGGACCTCGCTCCCAGTGATTTCAATCTTTTCCTACACCTCAAGAAATTCCTGTCTGGTCAGCGTCAGCGTTTTGAGAATGACAGAGAGGCAGAGATGGTTGTCACACAGTGGTTCCAATCCCAGGCGGCAGACTTCTACGACACAGGTATTCAAAAGTTGGTCCCACGGTATGACAAATGTCTCAATTCCGGTGGCGAATATGTGGAAAAATAGCTGGACACTTGCTGTATCTGTTGCAATAAATATTTCCATGAAATTGTGTTTTGTTTCGGTAAACGGCCCCAGGGAAACTTATGGACGAGCCTCGTATAGATAGAAATCTTTGTGACAAATTGTTTAAAAGTCAACAGTTAACAAATAAAATAGTGATGCAGAACTTTGAGATTATGTCCAACAATTTAAGAAATAAGCTCTTCCTAAAAAAAACAAGGATGAAATATTGCTGCTACTACTGTTTTCTGATTTTTTATGATTACAAAAATAAACATTTCAAACTTTATGAGTACAATAAAAATTATGACTGTCTAATATGACCATCTCATCTACTCTGTAGTCAAGTACACTAACCCCTGAGCATAATTGCATTTTATTGTTGAATTATAAATTCATACATGTAAATTTAATGTTAAAGACACAAAGATTTATTGAAAAGGAGGTGTTATGATTTCATCCACAACTTATTTAAGATTGTACTGAATGTATTGTATGTTGGAACTGTTTATCAACATGGAGGAAAAATATAGAAACTATATATCATGTATTTTATATTAGAGCTTCTTATAAACATGAAATAAAAAGTGAAATACTACATCAAGTCATATTATAAAACACAAACTAAAGTGTTTTACATGTGTATGTAACATTCCTTCTGCTGCCAAAGACATTCAGTGACAGTGACAGTATAATTAATAAACAATAGCACTCAAAACATGAGATGAGTCAAATTAAACTACACTGGGCACTGTAACCATAAAAGCACATTGTTCCTGTTGACTGTTCCCTTTCAGTGTTACTAATAGGAAAGAATTAGTAGGAACAGACTCCAGTTGTTTCAGAGACATGTCTTCAGCAGTTTCAAAGCCTCGATTAGAGTTGCAGACAGTTCTTCAGTTATTTATCATTGTACATCTACTCAGATCTCTAGCATAAAGATCAACCAATCTGCTTCAAGAATTACACTAAGAGATTTCAAAAAAATTTAAGTGATGCATAAGAAAATATGAAATAAATGTTTTTCTGGAGTGGAGTGAACTCGAACTCTAACCTTCAATGGATTTTGTCATTTATAATCTTCTGAGTTGTGCCACTGTAATTTTGTAGGTGGTTACAAACATTCCTCCAGAACATTGGTAAATACCTACAAGATTACACAGCACCACAACCCAGAAGACCACAGTTGATATGTTCTTTGCCTGCATAGTCAGTAGGAATGAATCACTAAATAAGGAAAAATGTTCTTTGGGGAACAGTAAATGAGGATCACACTGTATTTAATTTATTAATTGTTTTTATGATTGTATTTCATAGTGTACCTGATGTGTGGAAGAATGTAACGACAAATATGTCAGACTTCAAGGAGGTGATTCCTGCTTTCTATGATGCTGAAGGGGGTGGAGACTTTTTAGTTAATGCATATGGAATAAACTTTGGCTATAGACATGATGGAACCAAAATCGGTGATGTTCAGCTTCCCCCCTGGTCCACTGGTAAATAATTCAGTGTTCTGAGTTGCTCTTTTTATTGCATTAAAGATGTTTGTGCATTTCTACATATATGATAAATTGTATCTTTCTGCTTCCACAGGACCACAGGATTTTGTGAGAAAGCTTCGAGATGCCTTGGAATCTGACCATGTGTCAAATACCTTGAACCATTGGATAGATCTAATATTTGGGTATAAACAGACTGGAAGTGAAGCAGAAAAGGCTGATAATTGTGAGCATGTTATTTTTATTATCTGAATTAGTGTCATCTAATGGGTCCCACTGAATAGTCACATACTTGAAGATGGAGACAGCCACACACCCTTCTAGCTACCTGCTGACATCTGTGGTAATACAGATGTATGATTAAGCATTGTAATTAAGTCTGATATAATGCCACACCATTTTGATTTCTCTGGCTATAACAGACAATTCGTTTGAAAATTCAGTTATACAAACACTGTACACCAACAATCCTGTGTTTACAAATAAAACTTACTTAGGCAATAAATCACTTATTTCAACTCAAGGAATAATTAGGTTATTACGATCAGTGGTGTAATTGGTGACATTCCAAATCCAGAAATTTACATTAAAAGAACTTTCTTCTGGGAGGATCCAAGTTTTTATAGTGGAAACATCAGTAAGATTAAACTGTTTATAGGAAGAGGTAAAAATCTAAGAATTCTGGTAGAACAATTACATATGCATCCCTTTTTTGTTCTTTGATTGAGCTAATGGACTCATCTGTAATGACAGTGTTTTCTGCATGTTTTCTTTGGATAACCAACATACAGTATGCAAACATGTTTCAGTTTGAATACACTTGCCAGACTGGTCACTGAGTAAAGAAGTTAAGTATGACCAGATGCAATTTCTCTGATTGCAGTCATTTGCGTTTGTAGGACATGGGGAAAAGGGCAGTGTTAATTACTGGTGTAAAAATATGTTTGTGCCTTCAAAGAATAATATCCTTTTGCAAACCAGCAAAATATTCCCAACCTTTTCTCCCATTTACAAGGTAAGCACATCCATCAGAGAAAAAATAAATGGGAGAACAAAACATATTCAAGTGTCAAAATGGTTGAAGGGTGCAAAATTTGAAGGCATTGAGGTTGTACTAGTTATTTGGATGGTAAGTGAATGTGAAAAATGAAGTGCGAGTGATGATGTTATAAGGAACAAGTAATTGGATGGCAGATGAGTGTGTCAAATTTTGCACACAAAAATTAATGTGAAATTAATATGTATTTTGTTCAGGGTTGATTGCCTTGATGGTGGAGGTAGTAAAAACTTCTGAAGTGTCAGTAACTTTCTACTTATCATGGACAACATCCCAGAAGACAGTGATCCTCATACTTACTGCCATAAGGCCCTGAAATCTCATGTCAAATACATAATCCACAATTTTGCTTTTCTTTTGCCCTTGAGATCATAACTGCAGCATTTTGCAAACCATGTAGCATGTGAATACTTTAATAAATAAAATATTTCAATTTACTGCCAGCTCCACATTAATGCCAATATTGGTAATGGACATATCGTGATGCTATAATGTGATCTGATTGTAATCATGTTGTAAAAGTGCTTCTTATTCTTGGTACTGTACTTTAGTGCTCTTTCCAGTATCAGAAAACATTATATAATTACATATTTGAATGGTGAATACATATTTATGAGGCAAGGGAAATTGCAAGAAATGTTTGAATATATTTCCCTGTTTGTTGAAATATATAACTTGCATTTATATCTGTGTTTCTGGAAAACAAGTTTCTCAGACTATGGAACACATTCTACAGTGATGATAATGTGGACTATACATCATCAAAACCCTTCTGGATTATGATACCAGTAGTCTTGCATATGATTACCTATGTTTCAGAGGCAGTACATTCCACCTTCATGGCTACAGTGTATAAAACCCATTTCTTTGTTTTCAGTGTTTTATTACCTTTGTTATGAGGGTGCTATAGATCTTGATTCTATACAAGATCTGAATCAGCGGCATGCTTTAGAAGTGCAGATTATGGAATTTGGTCAAATTCCAAAACAAATCTTCACATTGCCACATCCACAGAGACTAACTGGTCTCCCACCTTTGATAACAACAAATTTAGAAGAGAGTTCCAATGCCACATCAGAGATGGGTATGTTTGTTGATGGTTTCTTTATGTGTGGAGGTATTGTGATTTAGTGTTATCATATTGAATCATGAATTGAAGTGAAGGATAATGTTTTCACATAACAAACATATAAATATATTGAAATCAGAAACACATTTTGTACTGTATTCTGAAATGTTTAGCTGCAGGGTAGCAGTTTAGTAATATTGAGTTTATATTCATCTTTAAAGTAATTAACATATTATTGCTGAAAATTTGAAGTTATAATTATTTGGACATATGAATCGAAATGAAAGAACTTGAAACAAGAAGTGAAGTGTTCTTTATTAATCCTACTGTTGAAATATTTTTATTGTTATTAGTTATGACATTTCTTAAACCAATTTGAGCTTCTTGTGGCAATGAAGATGTTTGTTTTGGTCTTCTGGATTGTGACGCCATGTGGTCTTGTAAGTGCTTATCAGTTTTCAACGAATATTTCATATCCATCTTTGGGGTGAAGATGGAGGTGATACATTCCTTCAGAAGTGTAGTAACCACCAAGACTACATCATCACAACCCAGAAGACCACAATATTGATAGTAGATGGCTGCTAATCAAATGATGTTTTGGTACCATACATTCATTCTGTAGCCATAATAAAAGAAATTCTTTCTCTCCTCAAAGAAATTTATGTCATGAAAGAGAACTATTGCATCAAGTTGAACAAGCTTCATCATCAGCAGCAATGTGATTTATTAAATTATTGAAACTAGACTGTTGACTGTTTTGTAGAATTTGCTTATATGCATATCCCAGCTAAAGCCTGTAGTAATGTTATGACTCTATGGAATCTAAAGGTTTAGTATAGTCAGTACAAAATACTGCCATTAGTTTCTACCTTGAATGTTTCAGTCCAAGTTTGTATTTTGAAATCTATTTACCTAATAATTAATATTATGATCTTGAGTAATGAAATTTATTGAAAAAGTTTACAAATATAAGAGGCATAAGCATTTTGTTTTCTTATAAGTTAATAGCAGTTTGGTTATTTGAATGTGTGTGCAAGAAAATGTTTTATTTTCTTTGGTATTTGTCATGTTTCAGAGAAGAGCAGCGCATTCCGTGATAGGGTGCACAGTGTTTCACATTTCCCTGTGTGGCACAGCTTCAGCACATTGAGAAACATTGCCTCATTTCAGTCTCATAAAGAGGCAGTGACTGCAGTTGCTGTTGCTGAAAACAAGCAGTTTGTGGTATCAGTGGGACAGGATTCTCTTCTCAAAATGTATTCTATTTCAGAAAAGAGGCAGGTGCGCAGTGTAACTCTGTCCTCCATGGCATTATCGTCATGCATTATTATGCCTGATGATAAATCTCTCATAGTGGGATCATGGGACAATAACATGTGAGTCCAAAAATTATCTTTACAGTGGTAATTCCTTTTGTACTGATAGTGTTACCATGACATGTTCAGGCACTGACCATATACTATATTTACATAATTCCCTCTCTTCCATACTCCAATCTTTTTAAGCTTTAATACCAACTACATAGTGAACAATCTTTCTTAAGAAGCTGATTGTCCCTCAGATGATCAAGAAATTCCCCATCTCTTAAGGAAAAAAATGGTTTATAACCATGCTAACAAGAATCTGCAACTGGAGCTGTTTTGAACCAGATGAATCAAGTCCACACTCTTACATACTATTTTTTAAATATCCATTTTAATTTTATTCTGCTATCTATGCTTAGCTGTTGAAAGTGATCTTTTCCACTTTGGTTTTCATAATGACATTTCATTATAGTTAAAAATATAACATTATTTTAGTGATTATAATTATATTATATTATTATAATAATGTATTCTGTATGTTGTGTGTGTTCTACTGCAGAATTCTGTACAATCTGGAGTTTGGAAGAGAAATGGACTCTGTTCGAGGTCATGAAGATGCAGTATCATGTCTTGCTTGGGGCAGCAATAATCAAGTTCTAGTGTCTGGATCTTGGGACTGTTCAGTACGAGTGTGGCAAGGGATGGCTGATGGGCGTCGGATCAAACCTTCATCGTCTTTAACAGCTCAGTTTGACCACGATGCCCATATAACTTGCCTATCATTGACCAGGTGATGGTCATGGATTCAACATTCTTTTGAAGACGTTCCAAATTTTTTCCTGTTTTTTAAATTCAGTTTGCTTTGTTGTATCATTCAATGATTAATTTGTAACCTTAAAAGTGAACCAACTGCAGGAGTTATTTATGGCTGCAAAAATAAAAACTGATTTATGATGTCCATGGCAAGCTTGAAAATTAAACTCAGAGTCATTCAGAAGGTTGGTAAAAGGATTAAAGTAATGTATGATCTGTAGCCTTTGCAATGACAAAAATAATGAATTTTTCTGAGGTAATCAGCAGCATCAGGTGGTTGGAAAAAGCTGACAGTTTCCAGAATTGCCTCAGTCCTGATCATCAGGGATCTGATGTGTGCAGGGCCGAGCAAGGTCCATGCATATACCCTTTTTGCACTGGTTTCTGCCACACTGAGCATCCAGTGGGGCTAGTGGACGGAGTCTCGCAGCAACTGGTCCACGCAGGATATATACATGGTACTTGCAGACATCAGATCCTTGATGATGAGTACCAAGATGGAATCATTGGTTTTTTGTGACCATCTGATGCAGGTGATTTCCTAAGAAGACTTAATTGGATCAAAGTAAGTTGAACTATATAAAATTTCCTTACCTCCACTGAATACAATGTTGCAGAAAGTGCATGAAAATATAAAACAGTGAAGTTTGCGCAGGTCTTTGGTACATATCTTAAAATACATTCCTATTACATGCCTTGACCCCTTTCTGCACCTGAACCATTGAAATTCAGTGTCTCTTGCAGAATCTGTGATAGGCTAATAGTCATTCAGCTAGTCAAAAATTTTCCTCCCTCAGAGGTTTATTGCCTGCTCCCAAGAGTCCCTGCCAGAGCTGCATGAGTCCAATCCACATTCTCCCACCCAGTTTTCTTAATATCAGTTTTAATATTGTCCTCCAGTCTGTACCAGTGTCTTCTCACTTTTTCCAGCCAAAATTTTGTTCACATTTCTTATATTTCTATGTGTGCTACATGTCCTGCCCATCTAAACCTTCTTCATTTGATCATTCTAATAATATTTGGTGAAGGTTATTAATTATGATACTTCCTATTACATAGTTTTCTCCAGTGTCCTGTCACTTTATTCCTCTTAAGTTCAAATATTGTCTTCTGCATTTTTTCTTAAATACCAGTAGACCAAGTTTCACACCCACGCAGAAGACAAATAAATTACAATTTTGTATATTTTAAACTTCACATTTTTAGATAGTAAACAGGATGACAAAATATTTTGAACAGCATGGTGCACTGAAATGCAACATACAAATGTTACTATATGAAATGTGAGACTCTACCTTACCTTAAACCAGATGAACAGAGACCAGGATGGTCATTGACACCTATACCACAGATACAGAAATGTAGGCTAGTGGAACACCACCATAAAATTGAATCAACATTCTTTTAATAATAATGTTAATTTCTCTTTCTATATATGAATAAGAAACATTTTATAACTTTGACTCTTTCAGTGCTCATTGTGTTAATGCTTAATATGCTTTTAAATTTGTTCAAATGAAAATACAGTTTTATTTCTCATTGTCATTTAAATTGTTGCACATGTGAATAATGTTGAGATGGGTTTTTAACTTCATACTTCGTATTAGTATCTTTCTTCCACAAGTATGTTTGTATTTTTCTGAAAGAAAGCATTACAAATTGCATTGTATATTAAATTCTCTCCACATTTCTACATGCTGTGTTTAAGAAAATTGTCATACTCTTCTTTTATAGGGATAACAAACTGCTTGTGTCTGGTACACAGGATGGTGACCTGTTTGTGTGGTCAGTGGAAACCCAGTCTTTGAATCAACAACTTCCACGTATGTTCCTTTTAATTTTAGAATATTTAATTTCTTTTCCTCACTGTGTATTGATTCTGTTTGATATTTAGGTGCTATACAGTTAAAATCTTGGCATTGTGACTGCTGTTTTGGGTTCTTTCTCGGGTTTCTCAGTCGTTCATAGCAAATACTGGATAATAACAAAACAAACCCCAGCTGGTTTCTTCCATATCATACCCGATTCATAATTTGTAATTGTCATGTCCTTTCTCATTTTTCTTACTTGAACCAATGGAATCTATACTTAGAATTTATCCCCACTATTTATGTTGCCTGAATGTATGTGTTGTGTATTAAAAAGTAGACTGTAATTGGCCATTAATTAAAAAAATTACACTGTGACAAAGGATGGGAATCTAAGTAAACAGTTGTTTTCAATACTCAGATTAGTCTTGTCAAGTATGCTTTCAGACATCTTTTGTAGAGAAGGGCGGCTGTATTTATAATGAGGCAGTAGAGTTTTGTAAACATTCTAAATTAGGTGTAAACTCGGCGGACAGTGACAGACTTGCAAACTAAATAAATATAGAAATATAGGGAAAAGGAAAGGTGACTTAAGTTGGAATAGTCCATTGAGGACAGTAGAAAATTATTAAAAACGTGTATTACTATTTTAGTAGACATGAATGTTATGTGGTTTGAGCACTAATGGACATAGTGGTTACTTCCTTTTAGGGTTTTGAAAGCTACTAAGCACATACACTTAGGCTGGGGCCACACGGCCGTACAAAGTACATCTGTTGCAATGGACGTAGGTGAGGACACCACACGAGCGCCAATTACCGTGGCAGCTTGAAAGGATTTAAAAAAAAAAGTATTGTCTGCACTTACAAATCATAATTCTATGACGGGCGTCACGATGTGCGTTACAACGGACGTACTTTGTACGGTCATGTGGCCCCAGCCTTAGTAAATTATTGGTGTTTGTTGCTGTCATGGCATTGTCTGTTCCTAGGTTGCAGATACAGGAAATTATGTCTGAGTATGAAGGGTAGCTGTGAACATATTTAATAAGCTGACTTGTGTGTTCTTGTGAACATACTAATGAACCTTCAGGTTCAATAATAAGCAGGGAATGTATTGACTAGCTGAATGTCAGATTCTCCTGGTGAACTCTGCTTCACTGAGTTTGTAATTGGTTAGTTTTATGTTTTTACACATTTTTTATTGTGCATATAGTTCACTGAAACAATTCCACATATTTCAAGTTGTGTGAGGTTACTACTAGTGAATATTACATGGATGTAGTTTTGATGTAATAATTTATCAGTCTCCTCACATCTAAGTAATCAATTTGTGATAATTTCAGGGCATAATGATACAGTATATGCAGCAAGCTTTAGTCCAGATGGCAACAAGTTGGTGTCATGTGGCGAGGATAAAACTTTCAAAGTTTTTGATCTGACCTCTGGGATGCTAGTGTACACCAAAACACTTGATGAAGAATTAAGGTATGTTTATTAAATGTGTATTTTTTTCTTTAGCTTTGTTTGTATTATCAGTGATTTCAGTTGCCCAGTTACTTTATGTAGATATGTGAAATTCAGATCTGTCCTGTTATATCTTTGAAATTGATTTTTATTGCATTTATCACTTTTTGGGCATTACGGATTTCTAGAACAGTCTTTAACTTCTCTCTTCCCATACCCCCATAGAATGAGATGCCAGATAGTGTATATTTCCCATGAAATATATCACAAAAAATTACAATAAAATAAACATTAGTGAAGAGAGTTTGCTTAATTTTTGTTGTATTATGGCATGGCAGGCTGTCTTGATTACAGTTGTCTGTCTTACATTCATTTTGGAGGAACATTCCTTATGTTTTAGAGCAGTATCATTACACCTAACATTTTCATCAGAACTGCTGTGAATTAAATGCATTATGATATAATGATTTATTTTTCCTTTCTTTTCTCATCTTCTCTCTCGCAGGTGCCTTTGTTGGGATGGTTTTACTTTGATTCTTGGGGGAAGCTTTGGAAATCTGTACATATGGGACTTGGTCCAAGTGAAACTGCTGAAACAAATATCAGCTCATATTGGTGAGTAGGTAAAATAAAATAACATAGTTGTAATATTTAATGATATATAACAGAATAAAAGTAAGCTAATTTAATTTAACCTTATTTTAGTATAAAAAGTGAACAGAATGTGGCAGTATTTTCACATATTGAGAAGTTAGGCACATAGTATTTTGATTGTAAAATGATTGGAGGAACAATATCATAATGATCTTGTGCAGGAAAATGCTTTCTTCCTAGCTATCACAAAGCCTGGTAATAAATGGACCTTTGAAACTAATTTTCCATGGGTGATTTACAAAAATTAGGATAGTAATTCAGAATTAAAATAACCTCTCATAGTTAAAAGGCAAATATTAAAAGACCATGCCATCTACTCTGACATTTAGTTTTTGGTCATTTATGATAAACAACAATTTGATTGCAGTGAAGTCTTCTCAGTGATTATTTGTGTCTGTATGGAGAGATTTACCAATATTTTGAAGATTTTCTCTGTCATGTGTGATTGGTATGATGGATAATGCAGCTGCTGGTAGCTCTCAGAGCCTAGCCTTGTTGACTAGAATTTGACCAATAGGAAAACAGGGTGGCGTTAGGTGGTTACCCATCCTAGCTAGGCCATAGTCAGTATTACTTAACCTTAGAAAGTTAATGCAAGTCACATCACTCCCTGATGTTTGAGACAGCGACAGTTTTCAGAATATTTTAAATTCACTACATTCTGATGCAATGGATCACCCAAGACTTCATAACATTGTGAAAGCTTAAAATTTAATTGTAACGTCTTCAAATAGGGGCAGTTACTGCTGTAGCTTCCTCTAATGACGGCACTGTGGTTGTAACTGGTGGAGAAGATCGTCGTGTTGTAATCTGGAAACCATCCTCTGATAGCTGAACTGATGTAAAGCATAGTGTTAAACTTTGTAAGTAATTTCTAACTGTACCAGTATTGATTAAGATGTAAATAATAGATATAGACTTGTTGACTTATGTATGCCATTCTTGAACATTGTCTTCCTGTTATTACAGTATTGGTGATTGGTCATTATATAATGGAAGAACAACACTTATCAGGAGAGTTTTTAATATCACACTTGGAAACTGTGCTTGTAGTAACATCACTTTTTAATTTTCATACTACATTAAATTAAGTAGTCAGTCCATACTAAATAAATGTATAGAGCATGTCTTCTGTAAAAAGTCTTATTGACTGTGTGTGAAGTGGAGTTAAAGTAGGAAAGCTGTGGCAGTGAATGTTTATTTTCTGAATAAGTGTCGATGCAAAACATAATGAAATACTGTAGCTGGCTACCAGATGTTAAAAAAATCCTTAACAGTAAATATTGGAGTTGAATTCTTAAAGAAGAAGAGTAGTTTAAGGGCAGTTAAAGTTGGTATACACCGAACATATTATTAATTTTAAATGTGGGTGCAATTATCTTCAGTGAAATTTTGAATATAATTGCATTATTTATCATCCTTTTAATTTCCTTGTTGTGTTTTCATTGTACTGATTTTGTCTTTCAGATGCATTGTGATTTATGGTATAGCTGCACATGTTGTGTAATATGCTCTTTAATAACTTTTATGTTCGAATTTAAATTCTTTTGCACTGTTTAGAACCATTTGCTCTAAATTATTACAAATAAACTTTGAAGGAAGATAAGTGAGGAAAGGTTGAACCCAGAATTGTGGAAAATTTATGACTGTATGTACTCTTGAAATCAGTAAGTTTGGCCATTCATATGATAGTTTGTTACTTCAATAAACACATTCTACTTCTAAGGTTTGACGGTCTCCGTCCCTTCAACAGAATATACTCCCTGTTACTTCTGCATTTCACTGTATTTGTTAATTGATTTAATTTCTGTTACACCAACTGCCTTGCCTGTGATGCCATACAAAGAATACATATCATTGTCCATTTACAGAAAACACCAAAGCTGGTTTCATCGCCAAGGTTCGTACTTGATTATTTTTAAATATGCAGTTTTTATGGGCTGAAGGTGTCTCTTTTGGTGCAAGATGTTAAAAGCTGATGCAGAGCTTAATTTTGTACAATTTTCTTTGTGTTAGATTCATGGATGTTCTTATTTTATATGGTCACAATGATATGGTAAGAAATTGTGTTTTGTCTCATATATTTTAGGCTATAGCTATTCAAACATAGCTATAGACAGCATTAACCAGTTACCTTTGTCTTAGTGATGTCATGGGTTGTGTTTTCTTTGAGTTGACTGAGTATTTAAAAATTATTTTAGACAATCTTTTCCTTCTAAAGGTTAATGTCTAATCTAATACTTGGGTACTGGATACTGAGAATGACCCGTTCTTCAAGTGCCTGAGCACTGCGGGTCCCAACTTTTCGTTGGCTTTGAACTATAGACATTCAGTAGGACAGCTTGGACGAGGGATCGGCCCATCGCAAGGCCTCTACCTGTACACAGGACAGCACAACAGGACAAACATCCATGGCTTGAGTGGGATTCGAATTCTCGGTCCCAGCGACCAAGCGGCACAAAGCCCATGCCTCAGACCACGCAGCCACTGCGGACCCCCTAATCTAATACAATCTGTGATAATCATTCTTGTATTTTATTTATACATAAAAACCTGATGTATCAAATTTTTCATAAGGATATTGTCAGTATTGTTCGTAACACATTCTTTACAATCATTGTAAACAGATTACGGGTGGAAGTGAAGAATTTCATAACTGGCTCTGTCTACTTTCATGCAACTTGTTCATATTGCATATTCCTATAGCGTGTTTATCAGCATTTGGTTAAAAATCTTTTGAAAACAGTTTACATACTTGTTTAATTATTTTTGACCTTGTTTCCTGAATGGAAAATACATCTGTATATTGGTAATTTCTCTGTCTGTCTCTCCCATCAGTGAAATAAGTTACATTATGTCGGTTTAATGATTTTGTCATTGGCAGTACTGAGATGGCCATGTGAACTTCTTATGAGGTGGGCTGATTCAGTAGCATCCTTACCATGTGATCTGAAATGTTATATGATGGTGAATTTTAAAAAGTATGCCATTTTTGGCAGGATCACTTTAATTTGAGATAAAAAATAAGAACACAGAAGTCGTGGGAAAAATAAATGTGCTTCTGTAATTCACGATTGTAGCTTATGAGTTTTAACTAGGAATGACAAATGTGGGAAGATGAATTTTGTTTCAAGTACATGAGTATGGGTATGGTGATGGTGATGCATATAGTATGCTTCAGTAGTTTACCTTTCTGAAAACAAAAGCTTCTGGAAACAAGCCCATGTCTATCTTATTGCACATATTAGGCATTATAATGAGTAGACATTGCTAAATGCTATTTAAATGCTTAATTAAGTGTGATATTAATTGCTGAAAATGAAAACAAAGTTGAATGTTACCTTACAGGTAATCAAATTTGTGATAAAATTCTGCATTTATGTGCAACCTCTGAGATGTCTCATTTCGTGTTTGTTATTATATGGGATGTCCATAGCTTAACTACGTGTTCTTGGGATCATTTTGAGTCGAAAAGTTCTAATAAACGTGAGTCTGATCTGCAACAGTTTGTCAAGAAAGTGCTCTGCACTCACTATGAACTGGTTGTTTGAGAAATTAGTTCACTAAGCTGCGCACATGGTGCACGTAGGCAAGACAGGGCAGTCAGTGCTAAAGACCGCTAGACATCTAAGCGCTACTTGCGTTTCCTTCGGGAAGAGCTGCCATTTATGTTGGAAGATTTACTCTGCAAACCAGGCAAGAAATGTGGCTGCAGCAAGATGGTGCACCTATTCATTTTGGTAGGTAGGTGACTGCATTTCTGAATCACCAGTTTCCAGACCATTGGATTGGCCAAGGTGGTCCAGTTGCTTGGCCAGCAAGATCACCAGATCTTTCAGCAGTGGACTACTTCCTCTGGGGTCGCATGAAATCCCTGGTGTATGCCATCAAGTCAAACAGTATGACTGAGCTGCTAAATCAAATAATTGACTCTGGTGCTAACATCAGAAATGATCATGACTTTGTGAAGAGGGCTGTTACTTCTATTACACAAAGAGCTCAACTGTGCATCAACAATCAGGGTCGCCATTTTGAGTCACGTAAATAACGTGAGTAATTGAAAATGCAATTTAGAGTGTAGTCTGAACTTAACAACAACAACAACAATGTAATTAAAATTAAATGGAAATAATGTAAAAGTTACAAATGCAGTAAAATGCTCATTCTCATTTTTGACGAGCCATTTCAGATGGGACCCGTGTTTATTTGAACTTTGACTCAAAATGATCGCAAGAGCACGTAGTTAAGCTATGGACATTCTGTATATTTTATTGTTAATCATATTTGTGTAGTTGTAGTCCAGTGTACTATTTTAATTTCAGGATGGTTTATATGTTTTATAAAGAATTTTGAAAGCTCTTTTAACTATTAAGTTTCATGTTGCTTTTATAAAGATTTATTGAACTTAAAAATGCTTTGTCATACTAGGCTATAATTAAATTCAAGCTTACAACAGAATTTGGAATTGCATCATGGATATTTTTATGTGTATGACAGGTACTCGCTGTGGAAATTTGGAAGAATAGAAATGTGTGTTATTTGGAGTGGAAAATGTGTTGTTGTTTATTGGAAATAAGATAATTTTTACATACAGATTTCTGAGATTAAATCATTTTTAATCCAAGTGTGATGTAATCTTCATAAAATTGCATGTAACTTTAATCATGTTTCTCTTTGAAGGCATATAAAATCCATATATAGGCACCTGGTAACCAAATTAACCTTAACCAGTTGGCAGTGCACCAGTGTGCCATAGCACTCTTATAGTGGAACTGCTCTACAGTGGCATTAAGAGATAGGTCAGCTAAGTGCTGCCACTGCTTATTGTTCTCTGGGAATTAGGCCCAAGATCTGTTGCAGCTGCTGTAGCAAATCAGAATTTGGCTATTGCACAGGCTTATAAGTGAGACATCTTTGACACTGACTGAAGAAATAGTGAGAAGTGTGACACTTATATGTGCTAATGGGTGGCCCAACTTTTAAATTGTTCATACCAAACCGAGTAAATGATAAGCATGAACAACACTTATACCCCTGTAGTATACAGCTGTCCATAGTAACCTTATTTGATGTGTACGTGAATATTTAAATGATAGCAAATTAATAATTTAATGGATTAAGCAATTGTTTGGTGGGGACAGAACGCAAATTACTGCATGTCGTCATTTCTGAACATTTACTTTTCCGTGTCTTTGTTTTTCGGTGTTCGTGAAAATAGTATTGTTTTGTATTTGGGCATGTTCGATTTGTGTTGCGATAACAGAGTTGAAAAATCAATCGCATTATGTGCCTACAGATAATTCGTAATAATGTACGACGTATATAATAATTGATACAATCGATGAAACTATGTTTAATACAGTTTCTCACGGAGAGAAACATTTTAATCTTGGATGTTGGTATGGACTCTAGACTTCTCGGAATATTAATAACCAGTCGGGGATTACCCTTCAAGGCAATGGATTCTGCGTACGTAAGTCATGACTAATGTGTAAGAAGTGTAGATTAAGTTCTGTTTTATAAGCTCTGCGACATACGCAACACACTAATTAAGCAGCACGTGAGAACATAACTTTACATGATGCTTAGAGGTGACACATCTCGATTGACTGCGAAGGAGGGAGAAGAAATACCTGACGTTCCCGATTTGTTCGCGTGGAGAGGTTTTTTTCTGTCTTTGTAAGTAAAAAATAAATGTGTAAGTTTAACAGAATTTAGTGTTTTTATAATATGGAAATACGAAGTTGAAGCAGTTTTTCGAGGACTTTCAGGGTAAGCCTTTTAACTAGACAAAGGCCTTGTTCACGACTGAATGAATGTGTCTTGACAGCAACTCGTCCGTGAGGGTGTTTACCCATGGTAACGAAATATGAAAACGATACTAATATGTGGTGGATTTGTAATAAGTAAGTAAAGTAAAAGAGAATTAGCCTGCTTCATAGGTTATCATACTGGTAGGCCTATTATCTTAAGACATGATCCACCGAATAAAAAAAAAATTCTGATGCTGGTTTAGCCCATCTGTGGTATGAGGGTGATAGCAGACATTAGAAAATATTTCCTGGTAGGACAAATAAGGATGTGGTTTTCTTCACTGTTCATGTCACTTTTTACATTAGTATGGAATGTTTCATGTGTGGACCAGTTGTCGGTAACCATGACTCACGATAGATTACATTAACTCGATTTGTAGCTACACTTTATTGATAACGTATCCAGTATTTAAAAACTTATTTACATTGTTTTAATAATTACACTACATTATGAAGAAAGCAACTTGCGCTTCCAATATCTAGGTCTGCGTCGCACTCATTCACAGTGCTGATTGTGTTATCTCTAATACGGTTCAAAGGATAGTCTGAAGAAGCTAATCTAATTGATAAAGTAACTGAATTGTAATGGTGTCTGACAATTTGAGAAAATATTCCAGTATTGTGTTGGACACTGTCTCGGGTGTATTTGACATGTACGATGTTTCTGAGCTTGGCTGTACTCCTATTATCAGGCCCTTTGAATCCTCGGTTAGTTTGAAGGTTTGAGTACCTGATTTGTGTTTAAAATGTTGGGGTTCAAACCCAAGCTTCGTCATTAACCTTAAATGCGAAATAGTAGCAAAACATTTGTCAGAACAAGTATAACTAATCATGGGAGTATATCAGGTGTACCGCAGACAGTGAATAATTTCCAACGTAATATTGGTACAAATGCATTTTAATCAAACATTGCTTGAATGAAAGTCACATGAATTCCAGCATCATTGATTCAAGCGTATGTTCACATTTAGGCAAGTTCACTGGATGCCGGTATAAAATAAAATGGCGCCAGCAGAAGTAATGCATGCCAGTGTGCTTGTAGCTTTTGCTTTCCTATTAAGTGAAGTATCAGCTTTGTGTGCCTACCCTTACGAAGGAGTCGGACTCGGAAGGTAGAGAATCTATAAAATATCAATGTATGTTGATTTACTGGACAACAGAAAAATTGCTGTTCCTTCCTTTTCGAAAGCCAAGCTAATACAAGGCCTACTATAGTTTTCTTGTTAGTAGAAGACGATTTTGCCAAAATGTGACTTCTACATTTTCTGGCATTGTGTTATTAATTTTTATAGAAAGTTTATTTTCTATGACTGATACATTCAAATTCATAACTCAAGATGGGGCGATAATATTCTTTGTTTAAAAAAAAACGCGCTATTGTCATACAACGCGGAAAGTGGTTAAGTAATGAACTATTTATTGCGCATATATGATGTGAAACAGACTGTCTCTTCGTTTTAACATATGGGTAGGCGGAGCGTTGGTTGGTTATGGAGAACAGTGGTTTTGTAATTCTTCCGACAGAGGTTGTTATGCAGAAAGACTTATAAGAGTCGTGTGGAAAAATTAATCATCTTTCTTGTGGGCAGATTTGGGCATTGATGTTTTTATAAAAATGAATTCTAGAAGGTAATACCAAGCAGTATGTATGACATTGGGTGACGGATTGCCAAACTTCAACCATAACCTCATGCAAACTTGGCCATATTGTCCAGTTTTAGATAATATTTGGTGGGAGGGTTACATTTCCATAGTTGGAAGTGTAGTCTGAGCACCAGATTTTTTTATTTCATTTGTTGTAGGCAAAAGATTTGTATTTTGGAAGGTTGTAGGGATTGTTTTAACTATAGAAGTTATAAATGTATGCAGTAAACATAGTTATTGGTGCAGTCAGAAATTCTCTAGAAATATAATCTTCTAAAATTCTACCATAGGTGGGAAGTTAAGAATAAGAAATATGAAGGCATTTAAGGTGTAAAATTACATATATGTATAGTGTAATAGGGCAAACCATAAGGAATATTCATATGATGAAATATGTAAAATTATACATGCTACATTAATACATATATATACACACAGGTTATGGTTCTGCTAACAGAAAAACTTATATACCATTGTATAAAATGAAGCTTTTGCGGAGACTGAAGTTGATGAAAGACTCTTGGGCTACAAGCCATATCGTTAAGGATATGATTCACCATTCAGCCACCTGATGCGGATTGTAGCCCGAGAGGCTTTCATCAACTTATATACCATTATTGCAGCATGGAGCCTCCAATTACATAAAAAAGTTTGAATACTTATTATGACATCTCTACATTCATACATACAATTTTAAAAGGCAATATTCCTGTTGATCATTTCTGACTGCACTAAAAATTGTTTATTGCATTATATGCATTTCTTAACATATACATCCTTCATGGTTTGTTCTGTTACAGTATCTCAAACTGACATTTTAACTTTAAAGTAGTTCATTTCTCACCTGAAGATGGCCATTAAGGCTAATACATGTAGTGTATACTGTGTAATTATTCTAACAATTTCTTTATAATAAAGTTGATATCAAAGTAATATATATCTTCATTTGTTACACAATATATAGAATACCATCATTAGTTTTCATGTCCTGTAATAGGATGCTGTCATAATATGTACTGTATTGCTTACTATAACTTGTGTTCCTACAGATCTGATGAGGAATTTATAAAAAAGTTCTGGAAAATATTGTCTACAGACAGCACCATGGACAAGTAAGTGCATAAAACTTTATTCATTGTATTTTCAGGTACATTTCTATCAGTAGGAAACTCCATTGATAATTCTGTTTTCCAGCATGCGGAAAGACCTTCATGAGGACCCAAAATTCAAGGAATGGCAAGAAAAATTCAATAAATATCTCCAGGAGATTATTGAATCTGACAATTCAAAATCATATGAAGATATATTTACAGAACTAGGTGGACTTGAAATGCCAAATTCCACAGACTACAGTGACAAATTGGAAAATTTAATAAAGCAAGTGGTAGATGAGAAGCTGCGTAAGTGTCTGTCAGATTAATTCATATAAAATTTTGGTTGAAAATCCCTGTAGAAAGAGACCAGACATCAGAGAAATATGTTATGGACTGGATCAACATGGCTTGGCATAAGGTTTATTGGTAGGCTGTTGTGATGAGGATGACACATTTGGTTTCATAACAGGAAATTCCTGGAAAATTATATACCATTGAACTATTAAATATATCAGCTGTTTTTCCAAACACTGCTACTATTAAGATAATAGCTGTCTTCTGGGTTCTAGCATCATGTAGTTTGGTAGAAGTTTACCAATGTTTTAGAGGTCCTTGCTGCCTCCATAATCAGGGTGATGACTCATTCACAAATGAAATGACATCTGGTAATGTGGGACACCTCAGGACTTGATTATCTACACCTAACTGATATGAGAACATTTCAAAATCCAGTGTTCTGCATCAGGCTCAACAGAATAAAAATTAAAAAATGTTCTGACATTGATAAAATCGATATTAGTAGGTTTTTGCACTTGTCCATTATCCTAGTATTACAAACATCAGACTGTTTCTCTCAGTTATTATAGTTTTCTTAAAAAACAATATTTTGGAAATGTCACTAGAGGATGGAATACTTAGATGAACATAGTCCAGGAACCAGTAATATCGAGAATAAAAAATGTAAACATGGAGTCACATCTGATGTTGCAGCATTATGAGATGTATCTCACAAGCAGAGCCACAAAGTATAATATAAGAGCTTATAACTACAAAATTGGGTGAACTGTGACCATGGCTGTTAAAAGTTTTGAGGGTATGCCACATTTTCCAGAAACTGTTGAATGAGGATTTATTTATTTATTTGCACTTTTCTTCATACAACTCATTTTAAATTAAAATAAAAGTTTCATAAATGTGATATATATAAGTAAAATTGAAGGTTGTGGCTGAAAAGGAAGCATCCAGTATGATTGTTCTCAGTTAATTAAATAACGACATAACTTGTTGACACAGTTTTTGTTTGTATGTATAATTCATTTTTTCAGGTACTTTGCCAGAAGAGACAAAAGAAGAAATATTTAGGAAGTGGGATGACAGAGTTAAATCCTTTCCTATCATATAAAGGAATAACAACCAAGTCAATACTGAGAAAGGTAAAGGTGATCATATATTATAAAAAAAATATTAAGCGTATGCATTAAGTCACAATGTTACAGTTCTGTTATATGTACATTTGCAGTATTTCATGTGCAGTACTTTATTAAGTTAAATTTCTTTAGTAGCTATAATAAAATAAACCTATTCTTGTCAAGTGTAATGTAACAGTCTTATTGATTTGAAGACAATTTTTAAGAAAGTAAAATTCACCAGTGTGTTGTATATACAGTGGAAGTTCGAAAAAAAATTCTGCTGCATTACATATCCTGAACAAGATATGCTTTTATTTTCTGCAGCAGCTCCTTTTTCACTGAATCTGGTACAAGAGCTGAAAGAAAGTTGTATGTTAATAGTTTACCTTAGTATGAAACAAAGGACATATATTTTTATATGTATGTAATTTACAGTTCACATTTGATAAGGATAATTATAAAAGTAATTCTGTTACATGAAGACTATAGTATTTTTCAGCGGAATTGGCGGCTGAGTCAAGTTCTGCTCTTTGTGAGTGACCAATCAGCCCAAAGAAGGTCTGTTGGTAAGCAGCTAGACCTCAGTCTGTTCAGAAACCGTGTTACGGAAGCATCGGCTGCCGCACTGTGTTGCCAGTTCTCACGTCTAACCATTCACTGGAAATCATTGTTCGACGATGCTACGTCTGGCACCACTGTATGTTGTTTCCTCACTTTCTCGCCCCTCTACATCTCACCTCTACTTCCTACCATGGCACAGTACATGTGATTGGTGCATGCTTCAGCCGACAATTCCGCTGATAACTGTTATAGAGGGTCTATAACCACATTTTTGAGCACGGCTGTAATGTAGAGAAGTTATACCGACATATCAGTATAGCAGGTTTCAGATAGTCTTATTGTATTCCCTTGATATTCATAATTTTCTGTTTTACTTAATACTTAATTTTAAAATATTAATAAAACAGTTGGACACACCATTTGTATAATTTCCCTGTTTAAAATCACTATAAACATAAAAAACTTCCTAGTCAGTCTGCTTTACATGGCTGTTTCTATGATATTAATATATCATAGTTTGATGCATAGTAATCAGTATCAGAACAGTGACTTAGAAGCTGAAAGTCGGATTTACAAGCAGTAGAAGGTTTTTTGCATTGAAAATTGATCTTGTGTGCACGTGTATGTGTATATATACACACACATACACACTTAAATTCGAAGGTATGCCAAGGAATGGTCTTGATTCTTGAAATATATTATTATTATGGTGTTCAGTGTAATCTATTAAATCTGTGCTCAACTCAACTGAAGAAGGAAATTACCTCTGCCCTTTGAAGTGATTTCTGCAATCAGATCATCTGCTTTCAGATTGTGAACACCCCGTTCTCTCACTATGTCACGACATAGCATCTGAACCTGGTCTCTCCAGCCGCATTCTATTAGACGAGTGCGCAGAAGCTCCTTTAATCTTAAACATTAAATTTATGTATCAGATAAAGTAATTCATATCAAACTTCAATTAATATTTTATATTGTGTAACTGGTTAGTAGGTTGTGGAGATTCTTAATAAATTTTTAGTTTTCTTAGTTAAGTATGTATGTAAAGGTATATATCAGATATAATCAGTATTCATCAAACATCCGTAAATTATAATATATAAAAATAGTACAAATGAGAATGAACATTTATATGAGACAGTCAACAGGATGACTGAAGATACTGACATTACTTTGCAAGAAGGGATCTCAAAAATATATATGCTTCACATGAACTTTATAGGGACTGTCAAAGCAAACTGTTACTGCTGTGGAAGCAGAACACAGATGGTGTATGGCAGAGTCTCTAATTTATGAAAGGAATACTTTTCTAAGAGAAAGTGAAAGGAATGTTACCTTGTACATTTAAATGTTAATATTCAGTGAGTTATATGCATCAAATACAGAATGACTGATTATTTCTATGTCCTTACCGTTCTCTTTCTCCAGTCATTATTAGAGTTTGGTCTGTTTTGCATAACATTGTTAGAAGACCTGAAAAGAACTGTAACATAAATTTGCAGTTATATAAGTCATTCACTATAACAGTGCTCTAATCTTACTGGCTAATCTTACTTTCTATTATCCAGCTCACCATTTCATTGCAGCATACTACTAAACCTTTAAATTCTAGAGTTTGAATCTGGCTCACAGTCTCATTGTACAATGGTTTAAATTCCATATAGTGATAATTAAACGACATGATCCACATATTTTAGGATTTGAAGTTTTCATGGCAGTGAATCCAAAGATGGCTGTCTTCTGGGTTATAACACTGTGTAATCTGATAGAAGTTAACCAATATTGCAGAGGTCCTTGCTGCCTCCATTATCAGAGTGATGATGGAAGCAACAAGGACCTCACCTTGATGATGGAGGCAGCAAGGATAACCTCTGGAATGTTAGAAAACTTCTGCCAGACTGCACAGTGCAACAAACCAGAAGACAGCCATCGTCACATATTTTAGATTATATTTTTAGTGTTGGCAAGATAAATGACTAATGATTTTGAGATATATTAAGACTGGCTGCAAATAAGTCATTGATCAGTCACGTCCTATGGTGTTAACTGCCAGCTTTATTCTTTGTGTTCCAAAGAAGCAACTCCTCACACAATTATTGCATTGATTTATGAATAATGACACAGCTTCTTTATTATGAGGGCCAGATCTTACAGAACTGGTTTTATATAGACACAGGACAGACTATGATCAGCACTGGTTTACAGCAGGCACAGCAGTTCTTGGCCATTGAGATTCCATTTACTTATAACTAGTGGACCTATTACATGACACCTTATTGCATCTTGTTCAGCAATGCCAGTACTGTCTGTGCAAGAAATAATGATAGTTTTGATTGGCCAATTAATCCATTGTCATTTAAAATGCCACCAGTTCAGTCTAAATTTTGTTCACTAAAAGAACAGAGTTGGGAAATTATTAAATTTATGAAGAGAGAAGTAAATTAAATGACTGCCAAAATTCTAATAATTATAGCAAATCCAAAAGAGAGTTAAAGAAGCAACAGGAGTATGACACAAAGAAGCAGATCATAAACAAGGCACTTTACTTGGCAGGCCTACACAGCATATAACCTGAGAATATACATATTCAGAATAACCTAGAATGACATGCTTTTTATTGCAGAAGCAAAAAGGCAATTCCTGATTTATTCGGCGGCTTTTCTACTAATTTAACCTCCACGGTTAAAACGTTATTGAAAAATTTGCCCCGGATCACAAAACAAACCTGATTTTCGTTCTGTTATTATTTGTAATAATGAAATACAAGCAAAAGCTGTGGAAGACAACATAAGCACCACAATAATGTACAATGTCATAACGAAAAGCATAATACCAAAACCCACCTTTGAAACCTTTTTTCCTTGCGCCCCTCTACCTCAACTGTTGCATAGTAACCTAAGCGCTTTCCTTTAGGATGGGACTCTCAGTAAGGAGCAGGAAGTCAAATTATTGTTGGTTCAGTTTATAAATGCATGGTGCGAAAAAATACTTGTGTAGATATGCTACAAATAGTCATTACTGTTGTTATTACTAGCCGATATATTATGTAGTTTGATGTGTACTGAACGAGGAGGGTCCTGTCATTTATCATGGCGATACACTGATGAAGCTTGCCGTTATCCGTGGAAACCCGTGTAATGATTGAAGCGCTATCTCAATTCTGTGCTCATGTCTAATTTTTTAAGTAACTATGGTGAGTAGAAACAACTATGCTTAAAAAATGGCGTGAGTGCGAGCGTCTCAATGGGGATATCTTTTGATAGACATATGTATGTTGTATGATTTAATGAATGGGAATAAGTTGTGTATTGTATATTAATTCTGAAGAAGTATTCGGATCTCATTTTAAGAAGGTGAGATATTATGATTAAGTTTAACCTTAGCATGATTGATTAATTGCGACAGTAGATAAGCATAGAGGCTGGATTTTGTGTTCAGAAGATTTTTCAAGTCCTGTAATATATTTTAATCGTATAGATTTTGTTGAGCAGCTGGTTGCTAACATTGCACAGACAAGGTGTCTAAAAATGTGAAATTAGTAGTATTATTATCTGGAAGTCCGCTATTTAGGTCTAGCTGCTTAAAAAAATCACATGTAAGCGAACACAAGCTTTCATTCGCCGAGAAGACAGTGTTCATAATCACACTGTTGTGATTATATCGTTAATGTTCCATGATTTAGACTTTTTGATAGTGCTCGTTAAATTTAAGGTGGATCGACAATTGTATTACATTATTTGTAGAAAACGTTGCTGAGTTAATACAATGGACATGTTGAAGAGTGTCTCTCTTAAAACATTCCCTTGTTAGGCAAAAAATGTACCCTTCTCTATTCTTTAATCCTTAGCCATTGGTACACTCAGTATAATACTGTACTGCTGTGTTTGACTTTCAGTGGAAACACTTTATGGTTGGCATTCTCATACATTATGCAAGACTTGTAGATATTATAATACTGTTGAATAGACATTTTGCTACATGCTGTAAAATTTGTAAAGATGTTAATATTCTCAACTGTGTTTTTGTCCCATTTTTTTTAGTAAAACTTGGGTTTTCAAGTTCAGAGGATTTATTTTTAACCTAGACTGGTAATGAATAGAGTTCTTCCATTCCCAAGAATCACCAAAGGTTTAAAAGTATTTGAAAGCAATGCATATGTTTATGATGATTTCATTGTTAAAGTCAGAAAAGCATTGGATCCCATTAATGTTTCACAGACTGGGTATAAGGGGCCTCTTTATTTATTTACTTGTAACTAGTTGACTTAAGTCAACTGTAAATTGATATTTCAGTCTAGGTAAAGTTTCTGTAGTGTGAAGTTAAGTGCTGATTTCCACCTAGTTATGAGATGATGAATGTGTTGGAACTTCTTTTTTATATTGTTCCATGGCATGATGCAAAAGCACAGGTGTAACTTTCACTTTACCTTTACTTTGTACCAAGAATGTTACATTACTGGCCATAGTTTTATGTCATTTTAGAAGATTTATTAATCCTCTCTAGTCGGAGTTAATTTTTGGTTAATACAGTATGTGTATGTTAATTCAGGGCTTCAGTTATGTGGCAGTGTAAGGTATTTCAGATGTTGGCAGATTCTAGTGAGCTGTATAAAGAAGTGGTTAGTGTGCTGCTGATGCCACTGTTACATTGATATTTACTTGGTATCTAAATTACAATCTTCTTTTCATAAGGATACTATGATTACTTCACTTATTTCTCGTAGGAGTTGTGGTCTGTGTCGATTATGCATTTGTAGTAAGGCTTTTATGGTCACTACATCTTTCTGGTGCAATATTCTAAACATGCAAGTTGGCATTTTACTTCTGCTTCATATTTAGGTAGTCCAGGGTTTAGAACTTGGCTTAGAGTTTGGCTCTCACAAATATATAGATTTTAGCAAAATTTCAGGGTAGGACATTTAAATTAGACTATGACCACTTCCTTCCACAGCCTTATTTACTTATTGTGATCAGGAAAACCAGAGTTTTGCTCTTTACAGGAATGTACTGCTTTCTCAGCAGTACTATGTCCACAATAAGCCTTCATTTCTGGTGTGTACAGGAAGTATTTTCTTTTCCATGTGTAGATGATGGATTATAAAGTTTGGTTCTCATTTTGGTTGCTGTCTCTGAGAATGCAAAGAACTTATATTCATGCTTGTGCTATCCTTATAAATCTTTGTGACCTGTTTTCCTTGTCCATAGTTTACTTTTCTTGGTCATGATTACTACTAAAATAGGAAATTGTGTGTAGTGTATAATAGTGGCATGTTGAGAATGTGTTTGTATAATGATGAGAACTTATTACAATATGGTTCTATTTTCTGTAACATTTTAACTTTTTTTCCACTTTAACTGCTTCTATAACATTATTCTGATTGCATAAATTGAGTACAAGAGTATTGAAGAATTTGAAATAACAACCTTGTGTGTTGTAAAACAATTTTTTTTGTATCACTGGTTTGACAGATAATATGAATGTCCTAACACTAAAGGTGAAGGTACATAGAACTGGTAAGATTTGAGTACAGGTAGTATGAATCTTGTCTAGTATTACTTTGTGCACCTGTGATGCATAAAAATAAGATAGTCATATTAATCTTGCACACAGTGCTTTCATTGTACTTTTCCCTCATATATAAACTTAATCATTCTATCAGACAGTATGCTTTGCTGGCTTGCTGTCCTGTTGCTGCCTTATTCCGTCTTTTATGCCATCTTTTTGTCTCTCCCCATGGTGTTTTGATTTGTTCAGGAACTAATTCACTCAAGCCCCACATTGTTTCCAGTTTCTTCTTTTTTATTGTGGATTGATTGGTCTTAGATTTTACCATTACCAAGGTTCAACTTAGAATTTATCCTACCATCATTTGTATGGTCTAGTTCTAATTCATTTGTTTTGTTTTTTATGTGATAAGTTTCTTGTAACCTCCCACAACCCTTAATTTCTGCTGTTTTAATTTATCTGTCTTGTTTAACTGGATCCAGTGCTGTGATCTTTTCAGCCATTTATAAAATCTTAAGAGTGTCCCAGTTTCTTCTGAAGTGGAATTTATTTCAAGTTGCATGTATTGCATCTGTGAGTAAGTAAATTTAATATAAGATTTGGTCACATGATCCAACACACACCAACTTATAAGTGGTGCCAGTTATTTCATGAAAACATCAGTCTGGTTATTTTTCTGTTCATATATTTTACTGACTTAAGGCATACTTTCAGTAGCCATTACTGGTCTGTTCTTAGAATGAGTTCTGTCCTTTATGGGAGCCACTGTAGTATGGATACATGTTCTTCTTTCATGTGTGAGTAAATGGTTCCGTATGGCTTTGAAACACGTACTTGAATTAATTTATACAGATCACAAGTCAGCACTATGCTTAGAAGTAGTTTCTATTGTTTACATGGAACCAGCATGTAAAAATGATCAGTTAATGTTTGTACATATATGTATGACTGACTGTTTCAGAATTTTATAGCGGATGCAATTAATCAACTTTCAGGTGTAGGCATCACAGCATGTAGCATCATGTGAAGTGGCCCTTATAATTTGTAAGGCTGTTGCTGGATGTATGGTGATCCCAGCAGTACTAGTGATGGCCCGCAGAAGGAAGGGGGCTGGAGGCAGCAAGGCAGCGGCTAAGTCGCAAAACAAGGCTTGTAGGAAGAGTAACGGTTTATCAGAAGAAAGGCTTAACGGATCCCTGTTGCCTCCAACCACAAATGAGTCAGAGGAGTCATGTGTGAGCCAAGATGATAATCTGACTCCCCTGTCATGTCACACCCCTATTGAGATGTGCCCCACAGACCCAAGTCTCGGTGAGCCACCTCCGTTAACTACTTTTAAAATAAATTCATCGCCTCAGCATGTTCCATTGGTGCACAAAAAATTTAGAAAATTCAGGCACATGCTTGAGCCTGGGGATGTTCAAGAGCCACAAAATTGTGTTACTGCACTGGAGAATGTGGATCCATGTGAGACCCATATACCACAGGTGCTTGATAATCAAGGAGAAGATAGTGTAAAAGAAGTGATAGAACAACAAGAGATAGAAATGGCTGAAGCACAGGATGTACCTGTAGTGTGGGAAGAAGAAGTTGTTGAGGAGACTGTTGTGTGTGAAGGAATGGAAGTAGAGTTGGAAGACACAAGAAGTCAGGATAACAACATGATGGCTGAGGAGGTGGATAGTCAAGAGAGTGACTATGATAACATGATTGAAGTCAGGGATAGTGAATTCAGTAGCCAGGATGGACAAGTGATAGTAGTGAGAGAAGATGGCTACAGTAATCACTACAACCAAGAGTTGGTGGATGTGGGAGATGTATTATCTCATCATAGATTAGTGGAATTTGGCAATACACAGGATTCTGAAAAGAATACAGGTCCTCAAGTACAGGAGATAATAGCATTTGGCAGTGAGGATAGTCGAGGAACTATGAGAGGAGTTGAAGAATGCAGTGAGGATAGTCAGGTGCTTGTAAGGGGTGTGGGGATGGAAATCCATGATTGTGAAGGAATGTTGAACCCTGTAGCTTCTGAGAATGTAATGAATATTATAAAAGCTGTCAAAGTTGATCACCAAACAGTGATCTTACAAGTACCAGACAGCCATTTAAGAAACATTAAAGAAGAGAGTGACAGTGGAAATTGTGAAAATTTAGAAGGTGTTACATTTATAGAAGACAGCAGTCAAGAAAGTAAAGATATTGAAATTAATCTGAATCATAGTACAGTTAAAGTATTGGAAGACAATGAAAGTTACATTGAAAGTGATGAAATTCATTTAGTAAATGTAAGGATGAAAGCAAACTATCAGACTGACATGGGATTGAGTTTGAATGAGCTGAGAAATTTGGAAAAAAATCAGGTCGCTAATAGAGACAGTAAATTAATGGCACTAAGAACAAATTTACATAAATCTCTAGCTGAAGTGAAATTAGATTCTGATGTTCATTCCCCTGAAAATGATAAAAATATTCATGCAGAAGAGGATAGTCTTCTGCAGATGCAAGAAGTTTCAGATGGTCAACACATGGCTGTTAGAAGTAATGAAGATGAAACTGAGAGGAAGCAGGTGCCAGCATTCCGCAGTCGAAGTGGCAGCACAGATACAACAGGTTCAGAGAGTAGTTCTAACTGCAGTTCTGGAGTCCGGCGTAGCAGTCGCATTCGGTCAATTGGCATTATGAAACAGAGGGCCCAGAATAGGGGTGATACCATAGAGGCATCAGTAATATCAAGTGACAAGGAAGGCAGTGAAACTAAAACATATGAAGGGAGGGATAGTTCAGATTGTTGTTCTGGCACTGACACACAGTCTGATAAAGAAAATGTGACTGGCATCACAAAAGTACCCACACCAATGAGTTCACCAGCTACAATGCATGGATTGATAACTCCAGGCATTCCAGTATATGATATTGACAGTTGTAAACCAGTGAAAGTGAAGTCGCGGTGGAGGAGGTCCAGTGAACTGGAAATGGTAGGCAGTCGGAGTAGTGACAGTGAATTGGCAGCCACGCCACCAACACCTAGTCTCTCGCCCAGACCCTTGATATCGGTTGCACCAAGTTTATCACCTAGACCAGCAACTCCTACTCCAAATCCCACTGTTCGACCTATAATTCCTGCTAATGTTACTAATGCAGCAGTCATGCCCTCGGAGCAATCAGTTTCAAGCGATGGGTCCAAGAAGGACAGCCGTAGTGATAGGAAAGAAAGAGAAGACAAGGAGACGGAAGAGAGGCTCCGGAACTTTGACAGACTTGTTGAAAATGAATATCTAACAGAGAGGTGAGTCTTCTTTTTGATAAATATGAAATTTGTTGTATTGTGTTTAAATAGTACATTTTTTGTATTAGTATGTCTGCTGGAAACATTTAATTGTTTTGTATATGTATAATATTTCTATTATCTAAGGATTGAAGTTACGTATTTTTTTATTAATTTTTTTAGAACTACAAGCAAAGAAGCAAAGCGTATGGTTTGTGATTGCTTCCTTACCAAAGATGAAATTGCTCGTGGAGAAATGGGATGCGGTGAAGATTGTCTGAATCGTCTGCTTATGATTGAATGGTAAGCTTTCCTTGCTGATGTAAGCACAGAAAATGTAATTTACATTATGTAATCTAAGAATTTGAGTATGTGTTTGTCAGAATGTGGAAGGCACAGGTTCTTGGAAAAAACAGTAGCTTGTAAAACTGTTATTCATAGTGAAGCAGAATAAACTTGGGAAATGGATAGTCATTCAGTTCAGAATATTTTAATCATCTTTCCAAAACACTAAGTATTAAAATACTTAACACTGATTTAGTATGAATGTTAACTTGTCTTTTGACATGAAGGGTGATTAAAAAATGGGTCATTTTTAAAGTACTGTAAAGAGTTTTTGTTTTAAGATTTAGTAATAATGTTGTTATGATTAATCATTAAAGACTGAGATATGTTAGGTATGCTGAACACATGGGATAATAACATTTTAATTGTAAATATCATCTGACAAGACTGCTTGGGATCCATAATTATGTATACAAGAATAACATTAAAATAGGCCTTAGAGAATAGATTCTAGTGGTATATATTTGTGAAAACATTGATGAAGGTCTTAGGTTTTATGTTAGGAAATGTATTGATCAGATAAATAATCATATATTCAAGGAGGATGCTGTCTATACTTGTACTTCTTTAAAAAGCCCTTAAGATATGTCCATTTCCATTGGAAATTTTTACATTCAGAATGATCCTTACCCAATTTGTAGGTACCTTCATGATATCTTGCTCTGCCATATTTCATATGTGTTGTTTGTTTAAATTGTTTTTATAAATTACACTGAGAAGCAAATATGAGGTTTGTATGATTGTCATATTGTCATTTTCATATGTGATTGACACAACCAACAAGACTTTTATGTTTCTAAAGATTTGCCAGAGACAAACATATCAAAAACTTATTTAGGTGATTTGGTGATGGTCATTCACCACCTGATAGTTTTACTTGGCTACCATAAGAAGAATTTGAAGGTATGGTGAAAGCTTAACTTTTATTATGATTTACATGAAATTTATATCTTCTTCCTTCTTTCTGTGAAACAGCTGAGTCACATTAAAATTTCTTTGACAAGTTCAATTTCATTGAGGTTATGAAACAGTTTGCTTCAGACTTGCCAAACGCTTTACGTATGTTATTTGACCTGAAGTAGAATTATTTAGGATTGGCCAATACTAGCACTGTTTTAAATTAAAGTTTTCTTAGCAACAGTAAACAGTACTCATAATATTAGATTTGAGGTTCTTATAGTGGTGAAAATGACAATTGTGATTTATATTGTGTTGCTGCGTAGTCTTGTATGTGGTTATCAGTATTTCAGAGAAACAGTGGTAAGCCCTACAATACAATGTGGCATCACAACTCAGAAGACCACAATTGACATTAAACTCTAAGAATTCTACTTTGACCATGAGCATATTTAAGAATGAAAGTATTTAGGTTTTGCTCCAAAACTTCTACAGGTATTGCTTGCCATAAAATCATTCAAATTTTTGTATCAGCATGTTAGAGTACTTGTTTTAAATGTGTAATTTTCTTTTGGTTTCTTTGAGCTTTGGAATGTACTTTTATTTTGAATAATGGACATCCATTGCATCTGATATCTGCCATTAATTATATTGGTGTGTTGTCTCTAATGATAATATATATTTTGTCTTAACATGATAATAATAACAACCACCAACTACTACAAGGATTGGGCCTATTGACACATTCCAAGAAAGTTGCTCAAGGCAACTTGTCCTTATTAGTCTTGTGAATAATAATAATAATAATATAAACTATTTTCCAACAACAACAATAATAGTTAATAATAGCAGTTGTATAACACTTTTGTATGGGCACGTGGTGGGTTATGGATGGATATTTTCTGTGAAAGTTGAAGCTTAAATGCAAATCATTGGTTGAAACAGCATCTTTATTATGCTTGAATATGTATTGATGCAGTTTGTAAGTTGTTAATAATGTGCAGACATACCTGGGAACAGGGATAAAATGAAACTGATGTTCATATTGGCATCAAAAGACTGAATTCAAGATATCCATATTGTCAGTTTAGTCCTATAATCTTATAACTCTTTGTCCAGAATTTAAGTCTAAATTATAGAAAACTGTAATTTTCGTAGTTGTTCTAATGGGTATTACTCTGTTCCATGGAGTTATCTGTTTGGTGTGTTAGTTGGTTAGGAGTGCCAGTGCATATTTTGCAGTGTAAAGAAGTGAAATGATGAAGTGATTAGTGCTTAGAAATGCAGTAATGTTTATACAGTAATGGTAAGGAAACTAGTGTATTATGTGAGTAAATTGATCTGGTTAGGGTTAGGAAGTTGGGAAAGAAGGTATAAAGAAGAATCATAAATACATATGGATAAATAAACATTTGAAAAAGGAAGTGTAAGAGAACAGACTGTAATAATATAATAGTAAGATATAAAGTACTAATTGTAGAATAGTACATATAACTAAGGGTTAAGCATTGTTAACATTGGGTCTGAATTCTATAACGACTTTGATTTGAAGGAGTATCCCTTACCAGGTACATGCTATATGTACTGGTGATTAAATTGTTGATGGGGTTTTGTTATTATATCCTGTGCTATATAATGAAATAAACTATGTGTATAGAGAGTACAGAAACTTAGGATATGGCAAGACTATTTGTACTTAGTAAGTTTTATTGCTGGTGGAAGGGGCAGTTTTTATCTTTTACTGATGGTGATTGCTGCTGTTTATGAATTTTAAAACATATGTGTTATAGCATTGTATTAAAGAGACGTGGCAAATCTTGCACCTGATTAACATTTATATAAAAAAGGTGATATTTCTTAGCCTGAAGTGGGAAAGTAATGAACAGCAGAACTAACTTTGACTTTTTCTGTTTTGAAGAGATTGTGTCTACCCAATTGATACTGGTATTTTTCATTTGGAAAACATACAACAAATAATGTCCAATGTTAGCCTTTGTTTCAGAACAAAAAATAATATTAGCCCTTGAAACTTAGAAGTTGAGAAACTTCATAGGTTACATTCCAGTTAATGCATATTCCCAGAGATGTTCATCGTTTAAGCACTTTGAGAGTAGCTGTGTAATTTCACCTTCCCCACATGTACATAAATGGTATTATAACTTGAATAAGGTAATTTTAGAGAAAAGTTGTTTTTATGCATTCCATACTGAATGTCAGGGTTCCAGATGTGTGGTGCGTAGGTGAGGGCTCATCTCACAGTAGTGGGAGTAGCTCCTACAGCTGGGCCTGCTTGCCACACTGTGGTATTGATTTCTGCCGCTACTAGAGTGGGAGTACTGACTTGGGGAAAGGCAGAAGTCCAAAGATCAATATAAGCTAGGGGAGGGTAGATGTGCTATGTCTGCAGAATTGTCTATACTAATAATAAAATGTAATAAGTTTTTCTCAGTGATGTGTAATCACAGACCCACTCTGTATTCTTTTAAAAGAGTCCCCCCCCCCACCCAAGGGAATGAATACAACTTATGTACAGAGTATGTGGTAACATTACCGTTTGTTTTCATTGAAAACCTTGTAAAGAAGCCAGATCTCTGTAACTTAATTTATGTGGAATTTATTGTGTGGATTTTATTAATTTGTATTTCAAATATTTGTTGTTTTGAATCCATATTGTTCTTCAGAAATGTGACATGTTAATAGCATTCTAAAATTACTTCATAATTCGGTTGCAATACAAGGCTGAAACATTAATACTAATTTTTTTATTTGGGAGATTTTGTGTTATTTTTCTATTTGTTTTGTATTTTATTAATAATACACATATGCACAAATAATTTGTTGAATATGTTACATTGAATTTCTTTCTGATGTACCAATATCTCAAAGATTTGTTAGTCAGGTGAAGATATAAAGGAACGTACTGGTTATGTTATTTTAAAATCAAAATTGGATGTCAGGTGTTCATCTCAGCAGTTTTCAAACCATTGTCTTGTACTCATACTGTGATGGCAAACATGAATATGATGTATGGAGTTGAAGTTACTTGGTATTCTTTATCATTGAATTGTGTACAGAGAAATATGGAAATTTCAAGAAACGGTTGTCTATATTTCTTGTCATTTGTACTGGTAGGATAGTATCATCTCACTTATTGAATACAGTGAAGCTGATAATCTCCCCTATAGGTAGCTTACCCGTAAAGTTTCTTTTGATTGCGTAGCCATTTTGAATGTTGTATGGATACAAGTCTTTCTTGAGAAGGTAATAGTCACTCTGTCAAGAAACCCTTTGCCTTTTAGGAAAACTAAATGTTTATTACTTTGTTCACAAGATCCCACCATGATTCCATATCTTGAGCCAGATGAAGTGAGTCCACACCCCCATATCCTCTTTAAGATCTTTTTATGTGTTCTTTGCATGATTCAACTTGAGAACTGCTCGATGGATTTGGATTAAATTTAGTATGTATGTTATGCCACTGGAGATTGCCTAAAATTGTACTTTTCAATTTCCTACAATCGGTAATACCAATGTGTTGAATGAACAAACTTGTGAGGTGGGATTGACTCTAGCACAACTTACAAGAGAACCATAAAATGATGTGTGATTGTAGGTTTTTGTAAAGTACAAGAATTTGGTGTAGTAATTCCCATCCTTTATGGAACCCAGACATTTGTTACTTTGTTTGGAAGAGCCTGGACCATATCCCGAAACAGTCATGCCTCACATTTTATTTTATTTAGATACATTTTAATAATAATAATCTCTGATCTATGCCTAGGTCACCTATGTGGGCACTTCAGGTTTGACAACAAAAGTTTTATTCACAGTTGTAATTTTTTCATTTGTGATATATGTCCCACCTATTTCAGTTTTTGATTATCCCTGCAATTTTAAATTTACAACTTCTACTAGATCCCCAAGCTTTGGTTTGAAAGTGCTGTGTGCTAATATTGATGGGAGCTGGGGTAGCTCAGTCAGTATAATGACTAACTATGGGCTGGATGATTGGTGTTTGATCCCTGACAGGGGCAGAGGATTTTTCCTCTGCCTTCTACATCCAGACCAGCTTGAAGGCCCACCTAGCCTCATGCCCAATGGGTTCCGGGGTCTATTCCCTGGGGTAAGACGTGGCTGGGGCATGATCCTGATTCCTCATCCCCATAAGAATGAGGAGTGTCTACATGGCATATAGCAGGGCAGATTTTTTTTACTAAGTGTTAATGTTGATGATATTTATTCATAGGATAATAGAATTTAATTTAAGAAGCATAAGATGAAAAGGGCCTTTTCTTGAGGCATTATATTGTGTTTTGAATATTTATTCCAGTGGTTCAAGGTGCCCTGTTGGTGAGCGTTGTACTAACAGACGTTTTCAGAAGCAAGACTATGCCAAATGTGATATATTCAAGACTGAAAAGAAAGGTTTTGGTTTGAAAGCTCTTCAAGAATTACCCATGTAAGTTTTCCTGTGTTAGTAATACAGAATTGTTTCTTGCTTTATTGCACTGATGTTTTTATACCCTGTGAGTCTTTTTGTATGTGCGTTTCTCGTGAATCTGTGTTATATTTAAACAGGGGAACATTTGTAATGGAGTATGTAGGCGAAGTGTTGGATCCAAAGGAATTCCGTCGCCGTGCAAAAGACTATGCCAAGGACAAACATCGTCATTATTATTTCATGGCTCTCAAATCTGATGCAATAATTGATGCCACTATGAAGGGAAATATTTCGAGGTTTATCAACCATAGCTGTGAACCTAATGCAGAAACTCAGAAGGTAAGCTCATTGTAATTCATTTATACTAGTATTTGGTTATTTTATGTAATTGATATTGCTAGTAGCATCATTGTATTTAGTTTTTTTGCTGTTACTGAGGAGGACTATGAAAATGATTAATTTGTTCTCTGGATTCAGTTTGGATTTGGAATGATAGTATCATCAACATCGTTCATTCTCTGTTATGCTTCCAATTTTATACTCCTGAATCTGCATGAACCAAATTCACATAAACTAAAGTTAGTAAGTTGGTTTGTGTGTTGTTTTGTGAATCATATTGGGAAACAAAGGCTAATTACATGAGAGGATGGTATAATATTCACAGTAGAATGCATAAAATGCCTGATAGAATCTTTATTAGTTTTTGTCATAAATGGTTTGCATTTAGGTGAGTGTGTTTGGTATATCAAATAAACATTTTAGTTAATCGTGTGAAGATAAATTGTATAATTGTGTAAATATTTCAAGCTTTGTGAAGGACCATGCATTTTGGCACTGTCAGTGACATAGAGTGAAATGAATTTTCAGTTCCTTTTTCTCTTTAATTGTAGTTTTTATACCTTTCTAATGAAATGGAATAATCACTCTTGGTATTCTTTACTCTAGTGGACAGTCAATGGAGAGTTGCGAATTGGTTTCTTCAGCAAAAGAAATATTGCTGTTGGTGAAGAAATTACATTTGACTACCAGTTTCAGCGATATGGGTATGTAAAGTTGCAGTTCCATGTTTGAGCATTATGATCTCAAATTCATTTACATGTGTGAATAAACAATTAAGATAACTTCATAGTACAGTGAAACCTCGATGCATCGTTTTCGGCGGGGGTGGGAAATAAAAACGATGAATGCGGGAAAACGATAGATGCGGGAAAGCATTAAATTTTTTTAAAAAAACAATGTTTCTCTTTCAAAGTTACTTCTTTTTACCAAAAAAGTCTTTAATGGACAACTGGTTTGTCGAAACTTTACGTTTTAGACCAAACAGAGCACTTTCCACGTTCAAAATGTTTTCCTCGTCACGTTCACTAATATTAAGCGCATAAAAGAACAACTTCACTTTCGCCAATGCAGCGTGTGCTTCGGTTGTAATAAAAGCATTTGTGAAGAAATTCACACTGCACATGCCATCTGGCATCGCTGGAACGAAATATGAGTGTACCCTAATTAAAATCGTAAAATTTCTGACAATGAGCACCGCCATTCACTCCAATATCACCCCTGCACCGCTGACCCTCATTCCAAAAGAATGTGCTGGTTGGGCGACATAACAGGTTACCGCTACTGTTTATTCCAAAAACATTGTGCGTCTTTCGGTATTAATTTATCTCAAAACCCAGCATTTTAATTTCTCAGAAACGATCATTGCGGGAAAATTGTGTGCTGGGACTAAGATTTTTTAAGGATCGATGCGATAAAACGATAGTTCGAGGAACGATAGAAGCGGGAAAATGTAACATTATTTTATATGGGATGTATTCGGGACCGAACAAAACGGACGATGCATCCGGGAAAACGATAGTTCCGGGAACGATGGATAGAGGTTTCACTGTAGTTAATTCCATGATGTTAATTCTGCTGTATGTGATTGCTTCTTACACTTCTTCCTAGTACACTGACATCTACCTATAAGCCTGCATGGTTCCAAAACCAAGATGAACAACAGCATTATCTTTACTACCATTAAAACCTCAAATCTCATACATGTAACATGCTTCCCATCAGAGATATCTCCAGTCTTCCTTCCATGCCTGGTTCAACCTTTGCTGCCTTCCCTGACTCCTTTGTGGTGGCAGTAGTCTACAGTGTGCTAAATGATAGAAGATTTCATTTCCTTTCTTCACAGTAAGCTGATCTGTACAAGCCTTGTTTTATCTTTAGACAATTTTTATGTTTACTTTTATAATTGAAATAGTTTCTTCCTACCTGTTGAAAAATTGTCACATTGTGATCTTAGAAAAGAAGCCCAGCGTTGTTACTGTGAGAGTGTATTGTGTCGTGGTTGGATTGGGGAAGATCCAGAGAAGGAGAAGCGTGATCGAAAAGAAAGAAAAGAACGAGAACTCAAGAAGAAGAGAGAGGAGAGGAGACGAGATGTTAAAGAATTTTTGGAAGATATGGATGTGAGTATGAAGGCTGTGTTTACGAGTTACTATATTGTTTGTTACTGCTGTTCGTATTACTGTTACTGACAGTGATGCTTGCATTTGTATTCATGTAGCTTGAAGAGGAGATAGAGAAACTTTGTGTGTCTGGGTTGAAGAATCGCGCTCACACCCTCACTCTTTGTCGCTTAATGGTTCGGGCAGAAGATCTTCAGTCTCGTGCTCAGCTACTCAAATTACTTCAGGGTGGTGAACCAGCATGTCGACGTTTATTCCTTGATTATCACGGCCTGCGCCTCATTTGGAGCTGGATGATGGATGTTGGTTCAAATAAATCTAATGATGGGCTATGTTTAAGAATGGAGGTATGTTGTTTTGAATTTCCGAGTTGTATTGAGAGTATTTTTAAATTTTAGCTGGCTTTTTTGTTTGGTATAACTTTTAGAATCTTTTTTTTGGATGCATTGTTTATATGTTTGTACCTTCAGTTACTATATGTAATAACCCACAGAAAATGTTTTTTCTGTATTTGCTTAATTGTGAGTTTTCCTCTCCTCACACAGTTTGATTAAAAATAAGGGTTGTTTTGTTTTTAGGAATGAAGACTTTTTAAAAAAGCAAACATAATTCAGTGATTTCTAGGAAAATGAGTGTTAGGTTATTTCAACCCTTGCATAGCTGTATTGATATATTGGCTGGAATTATGAATTATTTTAATACATGATTTAAATTTAGCACAGAAATGTGTAATATATTCAAATGATTTTCTTTAGTATGCAAGTTTAAACTATTCTGTTTTGCATCCTATTCCAATTCTCTGTTTGTAATTTGTATATAAAAAAAAAGAAGAAAGAAAGAAGGCAACAACAAACATGTACATGAAGAATGGTGGTTACTTATTATTGGCATAGAAGAATTGGGAGCATTTGTAACACAAAAGTTACAACGCATTTGTTACAGCAGAATATCCGTATTTTCAGCTTTATTGAAATGATGCTCAGTTTAATGGTTTAAACAGAAAAAAGTTAGGATGTCTGGAAATTTGTTTTCTAGTTCATTTTGAGGCCACTTTACCGAAGAACTTTATGAAATGTTTTCATGTTTTGTAATCTGTTGCCTTTTAAATTTCTTTTTTGTTTCATTGAGGCTGTACTTTGGTTTTATTGTTCACTATTTGGTAGACTACATTATTAGTATGAATTATTTTTGTGATGCAGATTCTTCAAACATTATCAAAGCTCCCTATACCAAACAAGACAGTGCTGCAAGACAGCAAAGTGATGGCTGTGGTTGAGAAGTGGGCTTTGCAACCAGCAAATTCACCAGCACCAGATAGTTTCCTGGCCGATGGCTCAGGTGATGGCATTGAAGGTCAGAATACACCTCATCAAGAAGTGGGAAGGAAAGAGAGGTGAGTTGTGGAATTTTGTTCAAGACTTATTTTTAACAGAACTGCTTTTCTTGGAAAATTAGTGAGGTAAAATGGGTAGAGAGAAACATATCTTATGTAATGTCAAGGTAACTCATTGTCTCATAAACAAAAATATAATGTGCAACAAATTTAGCTCTTTAAATATCATTCCAGAATGTTTCCTATATTTATACATTGCAATTTTGAGGTTAATTTTTTTTTTTCCATGCATTTCCAGATTTTAGGATTACTAATGTAATGGTCATAATAGGTACCAAAAGATGTTTTATCTTGTGAATATTGTACTTAATATTATCCAGCATCTGAAATCAAAAGTGCCAGTGGAACCACGGTTCCGGAGAATCTGACGTAAATACGTCTCTATATTTAAATTATAATTAAGCAATAAATACAATGAAAGGAAGGTAGCTGAATGTAATGTAATGTAAGGAAATGTAATGTAAAAATTATCTAGTCTACGACGCACTTCTTCTACAAGCGATTCACAGCTCAGCTCTTTTTGCAATAACGAAAGTGGATTGTTGACGGCAGTAATGTAACACAACAATGCCGAGTAAACAGATGACGTTTCGTAGGTAACATAACAATGCATGCAATCTGGCCATTGTTGTCGGTCCATATTTACACATTGTTGATATGGATCTTACACGTTAGGTAACAACAATGCCGAGTAAACACGACGTTTCCTAGGTAACCATTGTCAATTTGTTGATACGGATCTTACACATTTTCCTTTCACTTTTTTGCCAAATGACCCTTCTGTATAGACATATTTATGTGAAATTTATATAATAGTATAAATTGTATTGTATTGTTCTTCTGTATAAATGTTTACATAAACTATAAATATGAGAAATTGTGTAATACTGGTATAACTTTAAAAAGTTCTTAATGACTGATACATGTTATGTTAACTTATGGTGTCTACATCATGGGGCCATCCCTCTGATTAAATGTCACAGTGGTTTTGATGCATACTGCCTTAACTCACGTTGCATTAAATGTACCTGCAAGCTTTGAAGTTTTCATTTTTTATCCACACAAGCCTTGGTAAGTACACTTTACAGTATTTCACAAATTACAGACATTTTTACGCCATTGCTACTACAGGTATCTGTAAGAGATGTCATTAGCTTAATTTAGTAAAATGACATAATATAAGCTGGACATGTTGTGTTTAGTTCTTGCCTGAGGCAGAAATATGTCTTTTCACCACCACCACCTTTGGCCCAATCAGCCTCTTAGCCTATAGATAATGAGGGCACTTTCTCTGCAAAGTAAACAAGTATGAGTCTGAGTCTTCGGACAGAATGAATGCTGTGTAGCTCTTTTGCTCCTATACTCCCTCACAGCCTGTTGCCTTAAAATTGTAATTGATATTTGTTTTCGCAAGTTTATTTTAAGTGATGTAAATGTTGATGTTTGATTTTTAGATAATGTAGTTATTGAAACTTATAAATTGTTGTCATCTTCTTCATCACCACCATTATTTTCATTATCATATCATTATTTTGCATTTTATTCAGTTATTTGACATTTCTTCATTTCCTGAAATGTTATGTGGCATTTACTGTTCTCAAATAAATTTGGGTACAAGCAATCTCTGTGCATTAATTTGTTTCTTTCATTTAAACAGTAAAAATGAATTTTAAGTGGCGAGCGCTATAGAGATTTCATTGTATCTTTCTGTAGGTCATCATTGGAAGAGGAATCTGGTAGTGATCATGATGCAAGCAAACCTAGGACTGATGCTGTGTTACCAGTTATAGTAGAAGTTCCAGATGAAGAAACATTGCAAGGAATTGAAAGTGAGAAACAACTTGTGGACGGTATGTCAGACACACAAACAGAACTGCTTCCAGGAGATGTGTCACAGGTAGTGAGCCGTGGTAGTGAGTCAGATGAGGAAGCAAGCAGTGAAGTGACAGACAAGATACGTAGTGGTGAGGACAGTAAAGAAGAAGACCGAACTAGTATGGGTGAGAATGATGTTGCAGACAAAATCAGGACGTTCTTAGATTTGGCATCTGGTCTGCTTAATGACTGGACTAGTCTGAAAGAGGTGTTCCGAATCCCAAAGAAAGAGAGGATTGAGCAGATGAAGGAGCATGAGCGGGAAGCTGGTGGGTTGATAAACTATCAAAGAAAACTTATTTGGTATTGGTTAGAATTGTCAGCAGAAGTAATTTGATACCATATTACATCTGAATGTAGCATCTTGCAGTGGAAGGGTATTATGTTGAAGCAGACAGTTTAGTCTTTACAGTGAGTGATTCTGTTTCCAAAATACTCTTATTTTTCTAACTTGCACATTTTAACTAATGGATGTAGTCAGTACTTATTTATAAAAAAGGCACCAGAACTCATATTTCAAGATTAAGAAAAGACTGAAAACAGTGAGACCCACATAGTTTCATCATAGTTTAAAACCAGGATCAGCTCTGGAAAAGCATCAGCATCAGGAGTAGCTAGGCAGTTGGTTTTATTTGGTGATTGGGGGGGGGGGCCTGATAGTCTAAAATAAATGTAAATTCTGAGTTGCACATCACAGGATATAATTTTTGTTACAATGTGGGTAGATGCAGGATACAACAAAATATTCAGGTAAGCAGATGAATTATTCCAGTTATCAGTTTTGTTTAAAATATGTGCTAGTATATTAGGCAGTGTTGTTAGGTCCTAACATAAAGAAGAGCAGATTGAAGTGCAAAGATTGTATTTTTTCAATGCCAAGAGTTTGGAATTCGGGGCATATCCTTTCGTAACCTAAAATGTTTGAGCAGTATGAAAAATTCTTAAAAGCTTATATAATTCCAGTTTATCATGATGTCCAATTTTATGTCATCACTACATCAATACATAATAGCCACAAATGTTAAATGTTTTTCAACTTATCCCCTGATAATATGCAATAAATTGTGTTTTATTTACTTGCGTGTGTGTTATAATTGCAGGCAAATAAAGTGAATCATGAATTTTGTTATCTAGTGTCAGAATGCAGCAGTTAAATGCAGATCGGTGTTGAGTTGTAGAAAGTATTTCATAAATGCAGGATATTAACCTTTTGAAGCTGAAGCTCATCTGAATATCATTTAAGAATTCAGTCCGTACTGCAAATAAAACATTACACTTCACCATTACAAAGAACATCTAATTAATACTGTTTAAGGAAGTAGCCCTAATCTCTGTTCACAGTTAGAATTATATGAAAAAAACAGATACAAATTGAAGAGGTATTGATTGTTGAAGTAGGTGGGACATATAGTTAGTAGTGGACTTTAAAGTAAACACCTTGCTTATGTGTAAAAAAAGTTTCTCTTCTTGTTGATTATATAATTTCGGTACTGTTATCCTCTTCAGAATTTGATCTAATTTGCTCAAGTCTTTCTAAGCCTCTTCTTCTCTTGCATTCATATTTACCACTTATTTGGAGTCTTATAGGTCATTCTTCATTGCCATTTTTGCTTATACTGTAGAAGTGTGTAAAATCTGTTAATTTGCAATTTTGTGATTTTCATTTCATTCATGGCCAGAAATTTGTATCCTGTTTCATGGCCTGCATTCCAATTGAAATGAATTATGTCTCATTGGCTTTACGTGTGGTTTGTGCTTTAATGCCGTTTGATAATATCAATTGCATAGTGCAAGGTTGTTTTTTCTCTGAAGAATGCTTTTTTATTAGCATGGATTATTTTATCCAGCTCTGAATCACTTTGCTGTCACTTAATTTTTGTAATGATATCAAATCGTGATTTTGTAATTACGTCTTCATTTATTTTCCATTCATTGGCTAATTAAGGATATAATTCATGGGGATGTGCAAACATTCAGATTTTAAAACTCTAGCCTTATGTTGGAATGCCTTTAAATATGATACTCCAACCCTTATAAAATGTTCTGTCTGCTGTGGTCTAGCTTCACGTTAAGAAGATTCTGGTTTGTCTTAGTCAGCACCACTATTATGAAAAATAGAAGAATTAATACAAAATCTGTCAGAATAACTTTCACTTAAACCATTTACCTGAAAACAAAATTAGAGCCATTACGCTTCCCAAAATAGACTGTGTCCCATGGAGTTACTTCCATATATTTGATCTGCATATACACTTGCATATTATATATTTCATCTTGATGTTGATTCTGCTTTTGGATGCTGGCCCTTGTGGAAGTTGGTTGTGTTGCTGACATTTCAGAGGATCTTACTGCTTCTATTGTTAGGGCTGAAGTGGACCCTATTAATAAAGGCAGTGTGGTCCTCTGAAGTGTGACAGCACAGCCAGCTCAACACAGTTCCAGCACCCAGTAATGAATCACTGTGAAAGCTTAAAGACTGTTATGTTTTATCCACTTCAGACTGAGTGAATTATTTATAACTATATGTTGCTTGTACAGTGTCTATATTTTTGGAATTGTTGGTCATATCTTGATCATTGCCTGTTACTTTCTCTCTCATCTTCTCATCTCTTCTGAGACTGGTAAGATGATCCTTTCATATGCTTATTAAAATTTTATTTTGGTGTGGAAGTAAATTGTTAGCTCTGGCTGACTTACAGCACAACTTTGAATTGTATAAGAAATGTTTTTAAGGTGAAAATTACTGACACTGAAGTTGACACATGCAGGTTACATGGAAAGATAACTAAAATTCCAGAAATACATTAGTTAGTTTTTCTATGAGGAAGCTATTTAATGCATAAAATTAATTTCTGTCTGTTAGGTAGAAATTATATAACAAAAAGTTCTGAGAATCATCACTTAAAAGGGGAAGATGCTTTAGGAAGACCTCTAATAGAATGAAGTTTCGATTTTGTAATACTTGTAACGGGCTAATTCGATTGAAATACTGCAATGGGTGATATGATTAACATCTCTTGAATGGAAAATACAAAATAGTATTTAATTATTGTTTATCACTTCTTTGAAAATATGGTGAAGTTCAACAACTTTTTCTCACAATTAAATTAAAAGAAGAATCTGTTCAAGGAGTACAGGCTGTCATATATTTTTTCCTCCTTTCCAAAAATGTCTGTGGATTAAAATAAGTAAAATTAAAAGTATATTGTTTTATGTGCAGGAGGGTGATAGGTGGGTGTTAGAAACAGAATGCTCAAGAGAATATTTGAACTAAAGGTAAGGGAACTAACAGAAATTGAGAAAATTATGTGAGTTTCACAGTTTGTAGTTTTTATGTTAGGATGGTTAAAGCAAGAAGGTACTTATACTAGCTCAGGTTGGTGGTGACTACAAACCTTTGTTTCATAACAACAGGAAAATTCTTTGAATATGTAAAAGTTAGTATTTACAACTGCATATAGCAGCCACCTCAGTCACTGGTATTTAAAACTGTATGTTGTTTCATGAAAAAAATTTAGAATTAAACAGTTTTGTTGGACACTTCATTAAAATACAATAATGGTTTTGTGTGTTGACTTTCAGCTAAAATTAAATTAAAATTAAATCCGTGGCGTAACAGCTCCAGAGAGCCAAAGCCGACTAGCTTGACTGCTGGCCTCACATTCACATGCCTAATCAGAGGTGAACGATCATCCAACCAGATATAGGGTGACGTGTGGTCAGCACGACAAACCCCCAGCCATTGCTAGCTTTCCTGACCGGATTACGCTACTCATTGTAGCTCCCCAATTTCCTCACGATGCTGGGTTGGCACTGGTCCCATACACTGGTCGAAAGCTCATGAGAAAATTTCTTCTCCCCCGAGACTCGACCAGTGTGCATTCCGTATCGCCGGTCCGAAGCATGATGCCTCAGACCGCGCGGCTACGGCGCGGGACGTTTACTTTCAGCTATTATATTAAAATTAAAACAATTTTATTAGTTTTGAGTTATCTTTATTATCCAAAAGGTAGGTTGTTGACGTATTGTGACTCAGGACCCATTTTCTTCTGGGATATCCCACATCTGTGTGACCTGGCAATTTGTATTCTAAGATTTTCTGGACTGTCTTTTGTTGGTTCAATCATAGCATATGTTCAGGCCACTATTCTTGTATCTTCTAAACCAAACTTTTCAAATTACTTTGAATTTTATTATTGTCAGTGTCAACATGTTCAGTTTTGAAACACTTTTTGAAGGATGAGTATATCAGTAACTCATTCATGCAATTATATGGAACTGCTTTGAAAAACCGAAACACTGTGGAGGAGTGACATTTCAAATTACTTATTCGTAAAATGTGTAAAGTAAATGAAACTAAAGAAACACATTTTGAACTTCTTTGTCGAAAATGTTCTTTTAATGTAAATATCTGCACCTATAGTTGAGCTTGCTTAAAGCTAAAAAGGATGTTGTGTAAAATGTGAGGTAACACTGATTTTAATGTTACCACTTCTGTTAGCGTCACATCCATGCCGTTAGGAAACTGCAAGAGAAGCAAGAGTAACTGGAACTAAGTGGAACATGTCACCTGCTGGTGTATTCTGATGTTAATATTTGGGACAAAGTGGAGATGCCATAAAGGAAATAACAAAGAATATTAACAACTAGTAAGGATGTTGATCAAGAAAACAGAGAAAAACAAAGTATATTTTCATGCCTATTAAGTAGAATATAGGACAGTTATATTACTAAAATTGTGAATACCTGATTAAGACATCAGACAACTTCCCCAATGGAAAATTTAATGAAAAAATTCTATTATCAGAGAAAAATTGTATGTACAGTTCTCCTTCACAACCTCCTTACAGTGACCCATTTTAGGTCCACAGAATGTTTTGTGATAGAACTTGCATCAGTAGTCGTTCTTTGTTCTTCTATTATTAGTCTCTTCAGTGTGCCTTTTAACCGTTAATTTAAAATTTGCATCATCTGCAACTTGCAAGATAATAGGAATATATACAATGTAAGTTCTATTTACTTCAAAGTGGTCTTCCATTATCAAATCACATAATTTTTTAAACTTCATTAATAGACACAATTGCCATAAATATTTAAAAATATCAGGTATATGTAAATATACTAGTACTAATACCAGTATATGTAAGTACATTCGTACTAATGCCATACCTTAAGTAACTTTTTAGCAATTACCATAAAGTATCACTCTGCACTCACAAACTCAGAAGCTATCTGGCAACATTATCATTTCCATAAAGTGTTGGCTACAGAACATTTACAAAGCAACTATGTCCCTTGAAGCATCTTTTGTTTCAGTTGAACAGAAAACATGCCTTGTGGATGGTGTTAAAATACATATGAAAATCAGACCCACTAGCTGTATTATATGACTAAAAATTTAAGACTGGATGCATGCACAGTGTTTGAATATGGTGTTAATGGTGAAAAACCTCTGCTTTGATACTGTCTGAATATAAGAGTTTGAGATATGCCACAGTTGCCAATGTCCATTTCAGCAATTTTTTTAAAAATTTTGCTTGATTTCATATGCAGTTCGTTCATTTGCTATTCGTAAGATGACATTCATGTACAAATTAAATAAAAGTATAAAATCCTTGTCAAATAGCTGGGTAAATGTTGTGTTTCCTTTGAAAATGTTACAAATTTTAAGTAATTGGGAGTAATAGAACTAATATTCATGATGAAATTATGAACAGTATTTTAAGTTTTAGCTGGATGGTATGTGTAACATATGGGTGAAATTGATTGAGAAATGCATACAAAATTTTGTTTTGAACCTCGAGAGAAGAGATCCTCTTGGGGGAGAGAGTAACTTTGAAATGGATCTTGGGGTGGGAAAAGGTAGTGAGTGTGCAAGCAGATGGAACAGTTACTGTTACTGAATTTCTGGACTTGTTTATTGTCTGAAAATCTTATGAGAACAACATTTCATCCTTCAGTATGGATGAGATATGCTGAAGCACCTTCCAGTAACAAAATCCTTTCCTTGCGCATTGAACGTGGTAACCAGTTTCATTGAGCACAGTACTTAAGAAGCTAATAGTTTCTGAGCTTGTCAAGAAATTCTCTGCCTTTTATGAAACCTGAACATGGATTAAAATGTTTGCAAGAACATGCCACTTGTGTCAATCCTGATCCAAATTAATCCAGTCCGCACTCTCCAACCAAGTTTTGTTAAGGTCTCTTTTAATGTTATCCTCCCATTTATGCCCTTGTCTTCCAAGTACTTCTTCCCTTCAGATTTTCTGACCAAAACTTTGTATTTCTCATCTCTCCTGTGCACATTACTTGCTCTGGCTGTCTCGTCTTTCTAGACTTGATTATCCTTATAATATTCAGTGAGCACAAATTATGAAGCTAAGATGGTTGTAGCACCATGTAATCAGGTAGAACTCGGACTACACAGTGCTACAACTTAGAAGACAGCAATCTTCATACTCACCACCATGAAAACTTCAGGTCCAACAAATTATGAAGCTCCTCATTAAGCAGTTGAACCTGATAACATTGATATAGATTATTTATTCATTGGAATGTAGAAGTGAAATTTATATCTTGTTTTATTAAGTAGTGGTGGAAAAGACTAATTGAAATTCAATGAGGAGTGATTTCTTTCTTCCATCTCTTAGCTCCTTTTTTTCTTGATATCTTTCTTGCTTCTATTTCTTTTCCTCCTTTATCCTTCTGTTTTTTATCCCTTTCAAATTATAACATTAATACATATACATGTGTTACTACTATTATTATTATTATTGTTATGTGTTTTTATTACCCATATTAGAAATGCCTATAAAAACTGTGTAATGCTAGCAGTATTTGTAAAATAGAACTTTTTTCCAACTAGCGACATTGCTGGGAATTTTAAGCCATCTTTGAGCACAGCTACATGTGTATCAAAGCAATCAAACATCACAGTGGTTTTTATATAATACATATGGTTGTTCATGAAGACCAAAATTTGTTTATTTTTAACTGCAATCATATTTTCTATAAGAAATTACCTATATCAGCAGCTAACAATATCTTATTTACCAGATGTCGTGGTCGAGTGGTTAGCATCCTTGCTTCATATTCAGAAAGTCCCGGATTCAAATCTTAGCCCAGAGATGGGCTATTCTGACAGGGTTTTTTTATGGTTTTCCTCAGTTTCTGCAGGAAAATGCCAGGATAGTACCTTAAATTAGGCCATGACCATATCCTTGCCAATTCATTATTCACTATCATTCTCTCATTTGACACTATAGTCTGAGCTGCTGAAAGTGTCAATAAATAAACCATAAGTAGTATCTCAGTTGTCAATGCAAAAGCTAGTGACAGTAGTTGTTATTACAACAGTGTCTATTGTCTTACATATATTTTATATATACAGTATTTTGGTAGTTGGCTCTTTTACTGCCTTTAGATATCTGCTGTCAGTATACTAACATTTCTTACATTCATTAGTTTTTATTTTATTTTTTTGGTCATTAGTGATAGGGTGATAGTTGGGCCCCTGGAATCTTCTGAGGTTTGCACTGGTAGTGTAGTGGTTAGAATATGAGTTTAGTATTCAAGAGATTCGAGGTTTGAGCCAATTATTGCCACCAGTCTTTAAAATAAAAGTAACATTAAACACATGTAGTATAATGGCACTTACCTGTAGATGGGTGTAGAGCAACTCCTGCACTTTTGTGTGTATCAGGTATACCTCAGACAGTGGATAATGCCCTCATAATTGTGGTGTGAATACCCTCTGTTGGACTTGCTCCTCAGACCTGCAGTCCATAGTTCAATAAGAACAAAGCTTTATGGGCATAATAATCAAGTTTACCTTTGTCAGTCTTGTTTAAAACATTCCCACATTTATCTTGTAACTGACATGTTAAGTGAGTCACTTGGAAGGTTGCTTATTTCATTAGGTATATCAGCTGCTAACTCCACAGAGCACAGTTTTTGAGAAGCTGGAAATATCCACAGCTAGTCAAGAAATACCCAACATTTTATGGAACCAAAATGTTTATTTTCCATGTTCTCAGGAGATCACCACTGGTTCTTGTCCTTTGCCAGACCAATCCATACCCTCCAATCCTTGTTCCTTAAGATACATTTTAATATTGTTCTACCATATATTTTCAGGTCTTCAAAGTGGCCTCTTCCCTTGAGGCTGTCCGATTAAAATTTTGTATATATTTCTCATCTCTCCCATCTGTGCTACATGCCCCACCAATTTTATCCTTGGTTTGATCATTGTAGTACAACTCGGTGAAGAATGTCAATTATGGAGCTCATTATTATGCATTATTCTTGTGCTTACTGTCACTTTATCTCTTTTATATGTTGTACAATAACTTGTGTTTTAAAAAGTTGTATTTAAGTGGCATGAACAGGGGGAGGGGGGGGGATTATTGTATATACCCTTACGGATGAGAGGCCTACTTTCAGTGTAAAGTATAGGAAATATACAGAGGAGTTTTGTGTGAGAATATGTGGCTGTATTGCTATTTACGGAAACAGAGATCACTAAAATATTGACTAACTGTTCTGGTCTTCTTTCCGTATCTAGAGTAAGGAGGAATAGAGAATTTTCTGAAAGTGCCTGAAATTTAGAAATGTGTACTTGAAGTACATAGTGCAGAAAATGCTAAATTATTTGTGATGTTGAAGAATTTGTATGTTGTCTAGATTTAAACATTAGAGTATGTAGTCCTGTAAGCTTTGTTTCCTTATGGTTCTGTGTTTATATATCTACATAGTAATGGATGTATTTTTGTTATTTTACTTCCAGACAGAGGCTATAAGGAATACTTAGACAAAGAGATTCATCATGAGAAACAATCTTATGACAGGTAATTTGTATTTTATTGCTAAATTGTCAGTTATTTTCAAACCCTGCAGTAGGATTGAAGATTGTGTAGTATGTTGCAGAATTCCAAATAACCTGTTTGAATTTTCTTCAGGCATTGGCGTCAGGATCGTTTTCGTAGTGATTATGACAAACGAGATCGTGATCGCAAAAGGATGCGAGAATCACCTGATGCAGATAGAATTCGAAAGGGCTCAAGATTTGATGATAGGTTAGTGATGGCGTAACTCTTATGAACTAAATTTATAGATAGAAAATGCTTTTTTGACCCTCATGTTTTGCATATTGTGGAAGTTGCCTTAGCAAAAGTTGCACATTTTCAAAGATCTGTTTCCATGTGTAATTTCAGGGCACTAGTGTTGTTTCCACCTCAAATGCTTGTGTGTAACTCCGTTGTTATTACCAGTTGTACAAAACTGAAAAGTACAAGTGTGTGATAGATTTTATTGGGATAATGTTTTTGTTTAATTGGTTTGAAAGTCTAAGGATAAAAAAGAGAGACAGAGAACATGGTAATCATGTAAGTCTACTTTCTTCCCCTAACAAAGAAAAGTAGGCTAGAATTTGCTCAAGACTGGTACATTATTGATAAAATAAAGTTGTTTGTCAGGAGATCTTTAATATTTCAAAAACTAACAACTTTTTTCGTAAGTTTATTAATTGTTTACACTGATTTATAGAGAAAATACCCAAAGCACAAGTATTTTAGGTTTTTTAATTTTTCTTTTGTCAGTTGCAGAAACCTTGTTCCAATTCCTAGGTTATCTAAACATGAAAGGCGACAGTTATTTGCCATGAAAGTAGCACAAGAAGAAGAGGAAGAAAGACAGCGTCGGCAGCAACAGGAGATGTGGCGTCATCATGAAGATCGCTGTTTAGCGCTGGGTCTTGATCCAAGCTTAACCGCTGCCTTTGATCCACAGACTGGCTATCCGTGCTTCTTTGATCCAGCATCCAATACTTGGCAGGCCTACCCACCACAAGGTTGGAAACCATTGAAAATTAATTTTAAAGTATTTTTCATAAATTCTTTGTATCCAGCAATCATGCTATTTCTTACATAATGGTATTTTTCTTGGTCCTTGTTACACCTTAGAAATATAATAATTTGTTTGCCACAGACAAGTTTATTGAGTCCAGGGCAAGTTGTAGTTTAGTCTGATAGTATTAAAAGTATAATGACTTCACTTGGGTTTATTCTTTTTTCTCTCAGTTTGCTTGAAATTGTAACTGTTTTATTGATGTGTGTTACATTATGAGACTGAGGTTAAATTAACCCAGTAAAAGGGAAGTACAGGTCATCAGTGAATATATGTATTCTGAATGATCTACTTCTGTTTCTCTGCAAGATTCTGATTTAATATTGTGGATAAGTGGTATTATGCAGCCAAGAAGAGACATAAGAAAGTCAAATGCAAGACTAATATGTTCATGTTGTTTATTAATTTGCATATACAGTATGAAATTCTTTAACACTAGTACTTAGTGTCACCATCCCCTGCTACCCAATATATCTCTTCATAGATCCATAATGCTGCTTATTCATTACCATTAACTAACTCTCTCTCTCACACACACACATATAAAATAATTTGTAAAATAAAAGTTTATTTAAACCAACATCTAATTTGCAATGTGCAGAAATATGTGAATAAAAAGGAGAGATGAGTAAACAGGAGATTGCGTCATGATCATTTCCTGAGTAGTCTTTAATGTTCAGGTATTTACAAAATAGAATCTGTTATGTTATCTTCTAAAATCTCTTGTGTATTCACCATTTAAGGGCAGTTAGACAGATAATTGTTCTTCTTTCAGATCCTAATTCATTACCTCCAGGTGGAATGACTACAGAGATGGGTCCTTCACCAATGTTCCATCCTAATAATCCCATGAGTCCTCATTTGCCAGCTATGCCTCCCCAAGGGGTCCCTCCTCATATGATTCCCCCAGGTGGATATGATCCTAATAATCCTCATGTTCCTCATCAGCCAATGCCATTTGATCCTGGGAACCATCAAGTGAGTGGTATTCCTCCACACCAACATCATCCAACATATGCTGATCCTGGCCCTGGTGCTATGGACCCCAACTTGACAGAGTTCATCCCTCTGCCAAGTGGTCCACAGCCACCACCCATGTTTCAACACCAGCACTTGTATCCAACTGCCCCAACACCTGGTCCAGGCACAGCACCAACACACCCAGCACCCAGCATGCCAGTTGATGCACAGTCTGTCCCCCAGCCCCACTACCATCACCAGGTTCATCCTGCCTCACTTCCCATCCAGCAACCTTTTGTACCAGCTCCTCCACCTCCACTGCCAGCCCCTGTTCATCTTCCACCTAAATGGAAGTCTGCAAAGGATTCTGAAGGCCGTGTATATTACTACCATGTAAAAACGCGAATATCACAGTGGGAACCACCGCAGTGGACCGAAGCAGACCAGCAGCCAGATTCTGAGACTTCTTCTGAGTCAAGTGATGATGATGAAGATGAAGAGGAGGAAGATGAAAGCTCAAGTACAGATGAAGAAGAGGAGGAGGAAGAAGTTGAACAAGAAGAAAAGGTACTATCAGCAAGTAGTATTATGTTTCAGCATCATGCTTGTCAACCACATATCTGTACAGCCGTAAGAAATAGTGATGTGTTTGGTCACCATTGCCAAGCATCCATTTTGCCATTATGTGTATAATAAGATTATACAATATCATTCCCATATTCATACTCACTACTGTGAGAACCTAAAATCTCACTTGTGCAAAGTGTTAGTATGAAATAAATATGATAATTCTAATTCTGAAGATCAACTCTGTAATAATGTCCTTTAATTGAGCAGACAGAAGAAGATGAAGAAGATGAAGATGAGGATGAGGTGGTAGAAGAGAAAGAGGATATTGAGGAAGACGAAGTGAAAGATGTAGCCACTGAAGGATCAGTTCCTACTGTTGTTGAGGAGGAGATGGAGTTGGTACAAGAAGAGACTGAGCCAACTAAAGATCAGCTAGAGGAGCCTAAACGGAAAGAAAAGCGAAGAGAAGGGCTAGTTCAAGAACGTATAATAAGTGTAAGTATGTACCATATTTACTCTTATATTAATGCCACATTTTTCTGAAAACTATTCTCTCCAGAATAATAGTATTGCAAGCGTGACTTGAAATATTTAAACCGTCATTTAGAGAATTGCCACTGCCATGATTAATAAGTCAATGTCTCATAAACCCTGTGGAATTTGCAGATGTAGCAGGCTGGCTTGTGACTTACTTCAGTGCTTTATACTTTCTTTGATTTAACATTTTTGTAATTTAATTTTAGCCACGAAGAGAAGAAGATAGACAAGATATGAAAAAATACCGAGAAATAAAAGAGAAACTTCGTCGAAAGAAGGAACAGTCACGATCTCGAGAACGATCTGACCGATCAAAGAAAAGGCATCGAGATGGTAAACAGCGTTCTGGCAGCAAATCATTAGAGAAACCTGTCACTGTAGCAGCAGATACATCAAGTGATGCTGCTAGAAAAATCAAGGATCAATTTCGTTTACACATGGCAGGTGTAATTGTGCAGTACCTTAACCCGTATCGGAAACCTGATTGCAAAGCAGGGCGTATCACAAATACAGAAGACTTCAAACATCTTGCTAGAAAGGTATGATATAATGTGTCTTCTGTTATGACCTTCGGATAGCACATGTCCATGCTATGTCATCTGTGAAAGTAACTGCCTATGGGATTATCCCTGTGGCATTTGAAGAGTTACAAGGAAGAACAAATTTTGACTGATGACAAAATTGTAATGTTGCAGCTTTGAGCTGGAGTTAGGAGATATCCAGCATGCAGAGGAAACATCTTCAGTAGCTTTTTGCTTTTCTGACATGCTGTCAAAATGCTCATAATTTTCTTTAATCCTTATGGATGTCTGCTGCTGGACATATGAAATCAAAATGGGGTTGGGGGAATTGTGTCCAGAATACAGTTAAGTGCTGCAGTGTCAGCATGAATCTTGAGGTTCTGTGAAAGGCGGGAAATTTCCAATTGACCAATTGAGCGACTGCTAGCTTCTCAAAAAATATTCTGCTCCATGGAGTTCTTTTGATATGACCATTAGAGTCAGTGTTTCAACAGCTTAAACAATAGATGGATTATGATGTAGGCACATCTGAAACAAAATACATTGCATGCTCAAGTGTTCTACATATTATGTAAGTTACAGAAGTTAATTTTTCAGGTAAGGATAAATTTATAATACAGTTTCCTGTTGATGGAATGACCATGAAGTAATCTATCTTTGTGAACTTACTAAATGTGTAATTAATTACCATATTATTGTGCTAGTGTTTGTGGTAGCTGAAATTGAATATCTGAATAGTAATGTTTCCGTCTACCAAGCAGCTTGGGTTTCAGTTTATTGTGATTATCAGAAAAATGAGATCTACAAGAATGTTAGTTGATAAATATTTTTAATGCATATTTCCATATTTGAGATTTGATGTTCTGACAGTGGTGAATGTGTTAGTTTTCCATGCTGTAATGCCAAGTGGATTTGTAGGTAGATAGCAACATTCTGAGAAGCCTCTTCAGCCCTGAAGGTGAAGGCAGTATGTTTCTTTGAAACACTGATATCTGCTTGGAAGTCTGAACAGTGGTACAACTCAGACAACCAACATTGACATATTTTCGGAGGTTGAACTGAATTGAAATTTCACTTACCTAAACCTGTACTGAAGTACAATTAAAAAATCCAACTATTTGTATTTCCCTGTTTTATAAAAGTGATGGTAGGTATTTGGGCATATTGTTTATTAATTTTGATGAATAATTGTTATGTGCATGTTAATTAATCATCATAATTATGCATGATTTGAGGTTCTCATGGCAGTGAGTACGAAGATGGCTGTCTTCTTGGTTTTAGCGCTATGTAATTAAGTTTACTTACTATCCTGATGATGGAGGCAGCAAGAACCTCTGAAATGTTTGTAAACTTCTACAAGACTACATGGCACTAAAACCCAGAAGACAGCCATCAACAAAATTATGGAAGATGATGAATCAGATATATGCTGAGGGTAAGTGAGGTGATCTCTCATGTATGTACACATAGGTGAATCTGCTATTCTTCTTTAAGTTAGACAGCTGTATGTTCTGTTAAATTGTTTTTACTTTTTCTGCTTGCAGCTGACTCATTTTGTGATGCTGAAGGAGCTGAAACACTGCCGAAGTGTTGAAGATCTTGAGTGTAATGATAATGTGAAACATAAAGCACGTGACTTTATCAAGAAATATATGGCCAAATTTGGAACTGTTTATCAGAGACCTAAAGATGATGATTAAGTTTTAGAGAAAAAAAATTTCCTGTGAAGAGCATATGGGAGTTGAGAAATTGTTGCTAATTTTGACACGTTAAGATGGAAGACTGCGAGTTAATTCTACTGAGACTGAACTTTGTATCTTCCTGATCTGAAAGTCTTGAATGCCTGCATAACAGTGTTTCCAATCATGGGTGCATTTATTTATCATGGTGACTGCCATAGATATTAAATTGTGGAATTTTAATAAATTTACATCAGAGAAACAGCTCATGTTTAATTCATAAATCTTGTATCTTCATCAGTTTATAGCCATGGTTTTTGCATTCGTGCAGATGATGTTAATGTCTTGTTTGCATGACAGACTTTACAGCTTGTTCCTACTTACCAAAAGTGAAACAAGAAAGGTTACATTTGTTATATGTGTTTTGTTTTTAAACTGTTATATGAATATATGTGAAGGTGTAGCCATAAAACTGCCCATGTAGGAGTGAGAACCTGAATCCATGAAATGAATCAGTACTAATAACCAATGTTAAATTCTTTTGTTAATATTATTTTATAGGACAAATGCTGTAAATGTGTAACATTTCAGTTTTCTGTGTGTCGCTAGGAGTCTTGGCTCATCATTCTAGTTGGTTTCTGTGCGGAAGCTACATTTCTTCCGTTGATGGTCATTCCTGTACGAGATCACCAAGTCAGTGAGTTTCATAATATTTTAATTTCAAGACTTGAAGGAAAACTTGCTACATGTCTGTCAGAATTATTGTCCAATTAGGAGAAATGTTAGAATGTGAATTATAACTATTTGTTTTGTTACATCTTTACAGCAGTTAAGTCACAGTAACAGTTCTTAAACTACAGACCTGTATATTTACAAAATAAAACAAATTGAGAAAACTTGTATTTATAATATGTAAAAGTTGTTATTGATATATTATAAAACTGGTATTCATAACATGTATTAAGTTTTTAAGAGTAGAAGGTGAAGTGTTGAATATGACATAAAGGAAGCTTGTAAGTTACATGTGAAGAAGAGAGATTGATGCTTTACAGTACACGAGAGTGCAGACCTGAAATGAGGGGCACTTTGACAGAATTTTCATGAGAGTCTTCCAGTGAAATTTAATTTACAGCCGGATATTTTATTTCACTTTAAGCAGAAAGTAATTACCATTGTCCTCTCTTAATCATTTTCATAATTCTGTCATTGACTGTTTGTCATTAACTCTTGTAATGAGCAGGAGCTTGTTTAGTCCAGAACAGTTTTAATTAGTATCTGGCCACTCAGCAGCCCAAATAAAATCATCATCAGCTGCAACATTTGGCCTCTTGACCTGTTCCAGTCTCAGGGCCAATCAAATTGATTCTTCCAACTCCCCTTGGGGTGGTAGTAAAACAGCTTCCAAAGAATATGATAATATGTGTTCTGAGTAGTTCTGTTGGTGGTCTTTTACGTATCTCCTAGGTTGAATATAATATAGTTCTTGTCTAATATCTATGCTTCTCTTCTTATCCATTCTTATATAACCTGCCACTGATATTAGGAATCTCAGTAAACAAATTGTAATTTTTATGTACATGTGCATGTAAATTATGCCACTCATGGTAATTTTTTAGTGCCTGATATGCTTTAACCTGTTTTAATTCTCAAAAGTTATTTTCATCATTTTTAATATGTTTTGATGGTTTATGAGTGTATAATTTGTTCAGTATGAACAGTTTGTAATGGATTATCAGTTTCCAGCTGCCATGATAATATAATCAATAATTGTTGCCTTTTAAAAAGGAAGACATCAAATTCTGGTTTTGCTAGGGATGTGCTGTTCATTTAAAGTGACAGTACAGGAGAACAATTGAAACTGCAGTTTTTGTGGCATATTCTTTTTGCCCATTTGTAAACTTTCAGTCAAAAATTCTGTTTCGGTGGTAGCTTTCATGTTTCGTGTAAGGGTTTTTGGGTCATTGCCTTGTCAGCCTGGTACATGGGTATCAAATACAGTACGCAGGACTGTGTTACTAGCATGAAACACAATGGCACACTTGTGAGTCACTTCCACGGTGGTCTATGACGTCAAGCTAGCATCCCATCAACTTATTCACAAAATAGTGACCAGGTAAATGAGTAGTCACTTTTGTTTGTGACAGTACAGTGATCTAACTCCCCTCAAGCCCCAAAAGAATAGTGTTACCAAGTACCATTCTGTACTTGCTAATGGGAGTTGTTGGCTTGTAGGATTAAGACCTTGTCCTCATCTTTCCCTGCATTGTGCTGTGTAACAATTTTAATTCCTGTGTTGTGTAATGTAGAAAAAGTATTGTGGTTGTGAATAATCAGTTTCTGTAGTTAAATTAGATATAAGTTCTGAGACTGAATTTGTATCTCAGATAATTTGCAGTTAAAAGGAATGTGACATGTCCAAGAATTTTTACAGCCCATTCCAGTGCTTCAATATTTTGTAGCTAACCCTCAAATACAGTGTTTTTGTCACGTACAGATGTCTAAGAATACAGAACAAAACATATGTAAAGAATTTTGATAACAGATGCAACAATGAGATTAACTTAAGTTTTTGGGTGGGTCCATAAAAATGATGAGCATCCTGGATGCCCTTCAGTCATTATAAATGTTGAATCAGTCGCCCATGTGTGTGATTTTGTGTGAAATGTCAGAAAATTTACTACCGGTGAAAGGACTGGAGAAGTAGAGTTTCTTACAACTCTATCATCCAGTTTTATTAATTTGGGAATTGGGCATGTACAGGTGTTTTCACTGCTGCTGGCACAGGAGCCCTATGGGACATTTTTCAGCTAAACAGTATTCTTCAATTGAGACCGAGATTGAACAGTTTAATGTTATGCTGCTGTATGACAAGGCTGACTGGACTGTGTATTGTGACAAATGTCAGGTAAAAGTTAATAAAGGCTTCTGCTCTTTAGAGTACCAAAAACTTTTGTATTTGCAGCAGCAGCATACAGCCTGCCAGTCTTGTGCAGTGTGCATGCATTTTTTGTAATTCTGCATCACTATATAATGACAAATAGTTACCGCCCAGATTACATATTTAATTTTAAATTAATAATTGATGAAAATAAATGAGTAATTGTGTTAATGAAAAGTATGAAATGTGTGTGAACTTTTATGCAATTGTAAAGTTAGTAGTATTTTTAGTGAATTTCCATAAAGTTTCAATAACGTTACTTCATTTATAACCTGGCAGCACGTGATTCGGTAAGAAGAGGTGAATGTAACGTCAGGTCTCAAAAGGATGAGAGTACCTGGTTTAGGGTTAGGTAGAAAGATCGAACTCGATTGTCGTGTTTGTCGGCATATCGCAATACACGACAATCTAAGGTAAAGGAGAAAAGCATAATTATCCGTACAAGTGGATGCGAAAAGCAGCGTTACACTGTGATGCTCGCAACTGCGGACGGAAGAAGTTGCCACCGTATGTGATATTTAAAAGGAATAGTGCCAAAAGGCAAATTACCGAATGTTGTTCATTTGCGTGCACAAGGCAAGGGTTGGATGGATACAGCAGTTGTGGTGTAGGGTTGGTTCCGCACAGTTTGGGATCAGCGACATGGCTCATTGCTTCAATGACAATCTCTGTATGGTGTAAGACTTGAGGTTCTCACAGCGGTGAGTATGAAGATTTCCGTCTTCTGTATGGTGTAGTTTTCGCTGGCATTTGGGGGATGACACTGAAAGAATCCTTTCGGAGTTGAAAACTAGTCTGACAGTCATTTCTGAAGGGTTATGTCAGTTTTACAGCCTCTCGATGTGTCAGTTAACAAGCCGTTCAAAGACAATGCTATAAAACAGTATGCATAATGGCTAGTTAAAGTTGGACATGATTTGATGCAGGAAAGATAAGAACACTGTCGGTTGAAATGATGTGTGACTAAAAAGTAAGAGCGTGAACATGGTGAGGATGAAAATAGTTACGAAGAGCGTTTTAAAAACTAGGATTACGAACGCTCTTGACGGAAATGATGACATGAGAGTTGGAGACCAAAACGTGGATAGATAATAAGCGCCAAAGAGCAGTTCCAAGGACGACAGTATAGAGATGAATAAGGTCACAACATAGTAGGTAAGTCAAAACTTGTTGCTGTATAAAATAACTTTGTTAATATTGTGTATTATTCTTGGCAACAGGTAATGAATATTATCGATAGAACCTTTAAAAGTTTTCCCTCGCATAGATTCACGCATCCCAGTGTTTGATCGCAAAAATACGAAAAATATGTGCGAGTATTACGCGAGTAAATACTGTAATTCATAATTTTTGTTGTAACACATTCATATCATTCTGCAGTTTAATTAATTAGGCTGTGTTATATGTTGGTGCACAAATAATTGGTCTTCTCATGGTTTGCATAATGTAGCATGTTCAGAAGTCAAGGATATTCATTTACTTAAAAGTTCTGAACATATTTGTTTTCTATCATATCATTGAACATAGCAACTGAGTGGCTAGATTTTTTTTTTTTCCCCAGGGGGTATTGGGTTGAAATCTTGTCTTGGAGACTGACTATCTTAACAAGCTTTTTTTCTGTGGTTTTCCTTCATGATAATACGAGGTTAGTAGGCTTACCTTCAATTACACCATGACTGCTTCCTTCTGTATAGTAACTCTTCATATTCATTATTCAGTAATCATACTACCATTCTACTCTACATAGTGTGAGCTACTAACAGCATCATGAAATATAGCTACAGCAACATGCAAAATATAGTCCATAAGTTTCCTAGCCAGTGTTTCACAAATTTGAATTTATGCAGTATACAAAATACATGTCAGTGATCATTCCAACAGCTTCGTAAGTCTTGTGACAGGCCTTAAAATGTGGATAAATAATATAAAACAGCAAAATATTTGCTTTGATATTGTCACATTATGAATAATCCTATGGAGATAATTTCTATTCTGATTACAGATTGTTACTTTTTATTAAACTTATAACAACTATACAGTGGAACCTAGATACATCATGCCTCGTTGTACCATGGTCTCGGATATACTGTGGCTGTGATCATGTCCCCCAATACAATTACATGTTTTACATATTTCACATATAACACGGGTACTGAAGCTGTCCCCAAAAAGCCGCATTATACCAAGGTTCCACTGTATTATATTGTAACTTATTTGTCGTATCGGACAGGTCATAAATAAATTTTGTTTTGCTGTCCAGCACAAACTGAAGTATGTAGAACAATTAAGTGACACTTTGGTTCTTTACTCTTCTTGCTGCTGCAGTGTTTGGTCGTTGTTGCCGCCAAAACTCTTCTCTCCTGTTGAGGAATGCTACACCTTCTTTAGCATAGGAAGCGATTGTATTTTGATCATCTTGTTGGTTCATACACTTGATATCTGAAAACAGTATAGCAACTATCTTATGCTTAGGATTTTACAGCCAGACTCTGATGTGTAAGTTTTGGCTTTTGGGGTTTAGCTGCATTAAGTTAAAGCTGTTTCAACATTTCGGTGAATACTTGTTTATGAACATGAGGCTGAAACTGTTCCAATTTTGGCCAGAATGTCAGAGCAGCTTCATCATGCAATGTGGCTAAATCTCAAAAACCAAAGTCATAGAGAAACATAACATTATTTATAAGTTGTGGGTTTCATGTTCAGGAGATTCTTGTTTTAAATGATGGCTAAGAGTCAGCTTTCCTTACTGAGGTTTTTTGTAGTCACCCTAGTTATTGTAGGCAAATATGAGAACACTACCATAAAACAGTTATGACTATTCCTTCCAACACTGTTCATGTTTGTGCTTTAAAGCCACTCTGCCTTAGTAATTAAGCTGTGGATTTGACAGCATATATACCAAGAATCAAACAACACAGACTTTTCTCTAAAATAACAATGCCAGAGAAGTTTTAACATCGATTCTCATGATTGTCCCCAACATAAACCTTTTCTTTTAAGGATTCAGAGTAAAATGGTTAACAGTCTGCATGCCTTATCATCATCTTTACATTGCCTTGTATATTTGAGACAATTTCAGTACGTGGAAGAGGAAGAAAGCCATGTGCCAAGGAGGTTTATCTGTTTTAGAAACAGAATTGCAATTAGTTATCTTGAGTTTTATTTAAATTGCTCTCATCACTAGTCAGTAGCAGTTACTAATAGTCCTAAAGTTGCAGTTGTTGAAAAATTGCAGTCTGTATCAAGAAAAGATTAAACTGACTGAAAATTGCATAAAGTGTGTTGTAATTGACATTTATAACAATGTGCGGAATATTTCTGGACACCTGCAAGGAAATTCTGAATTGTATAAGGTTGAAAAGATAACTGCAGAATATTCTCCTAAATAACCTCTGGACTTCATAAAATCTTTTCTTATCATGTCGAGAATTAATGTCTGTAAGAATATAAAGAAAATAATAAACTGTTGTTTCATATATGCAACAAGTCCATTAACTGTGTTTATGCTTTTCTGCATATATTAATTTATTAAGAGTTTCAAACATGTCCCCTGTGATATCTACCTGGATGGTCAAGAAGTTTCTCTAGATATTCCTTATCCACACACAGCTCTCCCAGGAGCTGACGAGATTGTTGCTTGGTTGCAGCTGAGCTGCCTCGACTCTTGCTGGCACTGCTGATGTTCTTAGGAGATCCCCCAGTGGGCAGTATGGATTCATGAGCTTGTGGCAGCTGTTCTGTGGTGTAAAATATGACAAAGAATGGAATGGAAGAAGGAAACATAATTGAAGGAAGGTGGAATCAGAGATAAAGGAAGAGAGAAAAGAAAGTATAAAAGAAAAATTATAAAGAAGATATGAAAAATCAAGGAATGTAAGGAGAGAGAAGAAGTTAAAGATAGGTATGAATGAGTAAAAAGATTCAAAGTGCATAAATAGCACAAAGTGATTATGAAATAATAGCCACTTTTTTCTAAATAATGTCATTATCATTCAGGGTATGAACAAAGTTGACTTTGATGTATACCACTGATGCATAGAACTATAAAGAAATAGTTGCAAATATCAGTATCTGCTTCATTATATAATGTAATACTAAAGATATTTCAACAGTTAACATGAGTCTGTGAAACACACATAAATACCAAAAGAAAATCTTTATAAATTTCTGTAGTGTGGAAGAATATTGTCTGTGATTTTATATGGTTCTGAATATTGGGCATTAATGAATGAATGACTGAGAAGAATGGGGAAAACAGAATTATGTTTCCTCAGATGGTCACAAATGACTGATCATAAATGTAATAAAGATATCGTAGTAGATGTGGAATAACAGATGTCAATATAATAATAAATATATATCCAAATAAATGGCTGGAATATTTGTAAAGAATGCATGAAAGGGCTGAACTGCAGAGCCACTGTATCTATATAAACCTAAGGGTAGAAAATAACTAAAAGTGAAAGGAATAGTTTGTCTTTGTAACTGAAATAGACAAAGAGTATAATTCGTGATGATGATGATAACTGACTATGATTGCTGTGATTTCACTTCTAGTGTGTCACCCTATGAAACTGTTGTTATGTAAGAGAATGTGACATCACACCTGAATAGTTTATTTCATTACTTACTTCCTATGGTGTTTTCAATGGCTTCTTGAGCCTTCTGAACTCCCAGACGGAAGCCTTCAAGCTCTGGACGCAGATGCAAGCCTCTATGATAATACATTAAACTGTGCTCAAAGTCACCCAGATGATAGAGAGACTCAGCTTTCTGGAAAATGGCTGAAATATAAGATCACAGTGACATTAGTATAAATATGTGAAGTGTTTACATTTGATGTTATGCAGTAAGGGAAGTCAGCTTGAATTGCCAGGTGCCATTAATGTAGTTTAACTTTTAGTGGACTAGATTTAAATCTACCACTCAGAGAACTGGTGTCTGAATTTAATTTGGGCAGTTATTTAGAATTTTCTTTGTTTTGGAGGTATTTAGTTTATAAAATTTACAGAAGAATATACATTAAAATTTGAATGCAAAATATTGCATCAGTTCTTTGAAGAGATACATAAAGCTGTAACATGATGTTTGGTAGCTGCTGAAAAACCTTATTGTGGCTCAGCTCTGTTAGTGTAACCTGAAGGTTCTGCACTACAAATGTCAAAGTAATTCTTGTTTACCCAGTCTGTTATGTCTTCAGCCCACTGTAATCTTTCTGAACTGTGGTATCTAACACAAAGAGAATTGTGTTACTGAAGTTTAATTTACTGGGAGAGATAATACATTCTTTGGCTGTGAAAATACATTTTGTTGTAAACTGGTAGCAGTTTCATATTTTGTCTTGCTTTAAGAAGAATTAAAATGTGTAGAATGGTACAAAATACGAAGGTAAAACATTAATTTGCAGAGCAGAAAATAATAGTTCCCTGAAAAGCAAATAAATTTCTTGATAACCAAGAACATGTGCCATTGTGCTTTCATTTTCAGCTACTGGAGTTGTGCACTTGTGTGGTTTAGAGTGCATTGTTGATGATTTTTTTCTTAAATTAAAAACAGACTAATTGCTGTACCAAAACCAGTGCTCACTGAGTTCTGAACCTTGTGTCATGCTTTATGATTCAACTCTCTCCTACCACGGACAAAGTTCTTGTCTCCATGGAGAGCTGTCTCAGCATCCTTCAATGCCAACTGAGGTTCTCCCAGCTGAAGATAACATTTACTTCTTGCTACCAATGCATTCTTGTCCCTAGGATTCAGCTCAAGGGCCTGAAACAGTGTACATATAAGTTTTGCTTGTGGAATGAGAACCATTGATTTAAAGACAATTACGCGTTCTAATTTCTTACCAAAATTTATTTTCATGTAGCAGTAACAGAAGAGCAAGAATACTTTACACAGTATTTTCTAATTAATCCTCTCAATGTGTTTTAGTTTAATTTGTTTTGAATTTCTTAATCTCCTTACATTTCACACGGTATTTGGTGAGTTATCTACTGCTTGTTTGAGGAAATTATAGAGCCCATATTAGGGTGTTGCTTTGAGGATAATGACACTGTGCGACTGATATCCTGCCCACCCAGATGTCAGCTGGTCCTACGGCTAATGATGACGCACGCGTGGTTATCAGTAAAGCACCTTGTGTACAAAGTTGATGGCGATGTTAACATCTCCACTTCTCATTTCCCAACTGCCAAGGGCCAGCAGATTCCCCGGTTCGGCCTCCTCCGGGATCTGGAGGGCCCGAGTTCGATCCAGACGTCTCTTCATTTTCAGCGACTGCTTGATGTCGTGAGAGCCCATGTTGACGGCAGCAGCGCGGTCTTTGTCCGTGTAACATTCTTCCTGCCGTCGAATCCGACTTCGTTTTCGTCCCCGTTTAGGCCCCTTACGTAACTTCAGGTCTCGAGTCAGCTGCGAAAACGTGGTTTTCCCTGCACTTTTGTTTTGTTGAGACTCGGCAGACCGAACTTTTCTGTGACGTGCTGCAGCAGTTTCTGCTTGTCGTTTTTGTTCTTCTTGCTGTTCTAGTTGCTGTAGCTGTTGTTGCTGATCGCGTAGTTGCTGCAGTGGCGGTAGTAATACTGGCTTTTCATCAGCAGCTCTCTTTACTCCTTTGTGTCGAGGACGATTGGAGTCATCGGCTTCAGAGTCGGCTCCAATATTCACCCTCAGGAAACTTTGGAGGAATTCCGTGTCCCGGGTGATTTTCAGAATCTCTCGCGCATGTTCGCTTAGATTTGATTCCTTGGATTCCTTTTCTTGCTTCTCGATCGGTTCGTTTTTCACAAAGTTGGCTTCGTGTCTCACATGTTCTTCCGCCATTATGATTACTTGAAATTAATTGAATTTAATTTGTGGTGGTGGTAGTTGTAGTAGTAATATATCTTTATGATATCTAAGTCTCTACGAAAGATTTAACCCATTCTCAACTTTTCTTTATTAAATCTATTCCATAATATAAAACTTCTAGTATTTAACTTTTGAAAAATGCTTTCTTGTTAACCGCAATACTGCATAATGGTAAAACCCACTTACAAAACCGAACAGTGTTATATGTTTACACACAAGGTGCCTATAAATTTACGTAACATAATATACTTTAAACGTTGTTATGGTTCTTTGCTAAACATCTGGAACAAAATACAAAACTAAATTCACTGTGTCACTCGGAAGAGTTACTGGTACGACATAAGTAGCAATATGTATTATTGTTTTCTCCAAAGTAAACATGGACGTCGAATTCTGATTTATAATATTTTATTTCCACAACATTGTGTTTTCAGACGCAATATTTGAACTCTGATGATAAGCTGCTTTAAACACAGGATCGCGATTTGAGAGCAGAGTACTTACATAAGGAAATTTAATAAATTATATTTAAAATTACGAAATTTTAAATACGTGTGATGCACAAACACCTTCACGCACAGCTGTACACCATAGAAGCGCCTTACCTGTTCGTTACCTAGGCAACCCATCAACAACAAATCAATTCATGTCAAGTTAATTTCAAATGCTCTTGTTATTCTTCTATGCTTGTAATAAAATATGTTGCATATTGTGGAAAATAAACATTTGTGTTTTTTTCAATTAATATTAACGTAATATAAAATATTAATTCAACATTCAATCGAAAGTGTGAATGTTATATTTACTTTATTTCCCGAGTCCTCTTTTTGTCAAATAAATTTGGTAGATCGGCACAGACACAGAGTTTGTTGAATTTGTTTTCATTATCTCGCTGAGTATTGGATGCTTGTGCCATACAAAGTGGCTTAACTTCAAAATAAAGTATACCGTTACGCATCTTTAAAGAACGTGTTTCTAGACCCAACTGAATATTAATATCAGAAGTCCGCTAATAGATGGAAGCACTGGTGCACCCCGTTACTACAAACGAGTTAACACTACCGGGATCTTGGCGGTGTAACCATTACATTTAGAGTAGTGAAAGTTCCACTGCGTAATTCCTGTTCTATTTAAGTGTAGTTTTTATTCGAATAAAATTATCCCATTCAATTTGCTACGTTGTTTACATTGAGAAATCTTATTTTTTTATACAACACAGAGAGAGTCGCACATTTCTATAACCAATTATTTTAAAATAAGGGAATTTTAAATATTTCTTTCCAAATCTGTTTTTGTCAGTGTTCATTAGGTCTCCTTTTGCTATCAGTAAATACATTTTTAGATTTGTTTCTGCTTTTGACGCCGTGCTATAAACTTCGCCTTGAAGATATAAACAGTAAATATCTCCGAAAAGGCAGTAATACAGAGTACTTCTATATAGTTCCAGCACCGAGAAAATCCATAATCGCATTTAAACTCCCTGAAATCTTCGATGACAATTTTACCTTATTAACCTGTCGTGGTTTGACATCGCGTCTAATTTGCTACGATTTCTCTATAAGTTCGTGGAAATAATTGTGAGAGAAATGAGGGGTGTGTCACTGATATATTTCATTCAAATGGTACAATAACAGTAGGGAGCTTCAGAGCACGGAAGGAAAATCCTATTGTTTCGTAACAGGCCGGGGAATTGGTTTGATTATGTTGTACAAGATCGTCATCTTTTGGGCAACTGTAAAATTGACTGTTTTCCTGTTGTTAGCGATGTTACTTTATTCAAGGGGTGCATAAAATACGAACCGATGGCTGCTTCTAGTAGGACCTGCGACAATGTTAAGATATTAGACAGTATTGTGTTCTGTAATTTGTTCTGTTTCTCATACAAAGAACTGTGAATGTATTGTAATCTAAAATAAATAAATAAATACGCAAGATTTTAGACTTTTACTGAAACATTCGTTCTGGGTTTCTGGTTTTACGTGCGCATGTTTACTGTTTTAATTTGCCGTAACTGTAACTGGAGTTGAGAAAATCGACCTTATCCAGATCCAGTTGAATTCGTGTGTTAACACTTTTAGAAATATAGTCAGAGTTTATGATATTGTGTCTGAATTAATTAATATTATTGAAGTTCTTATGTCTTGTGTGTATTTTTAAGGCATGCTTAGTCAGTACGAATCATTGATAGATATTTAACTACTTGTACATGTCAGATCAACCGAACGTTGCGACCGAGTGGTTAACACTCCTGTTTCATATTCGAATGTTCTCTGGTTCAAATGTCGGTCTGAAAACCGTCTATCCTGCCATGACTTCTGTGATTCTGCTCAGTTCATCCAGCCAAATGCTGGGATGATGCCTTAAGTTGGGACTCAACAACTTTCTTCAGCATCCTTTATAATTATTTACTAACCATCCTGCTATTTATTGCTCTATATTCTGAGCTACTGACAGCCTTTAGGGATTGAGGGAAACCACGAAATCAGTCGAGATACCCGGTCTCCGAGACGAGATTTGAACCAAAGATCTCTCGAATACAAAACAGGAATAATAAGCACTCGGCCGGATGAAGAAACAAACACGAAAATGGCGTCAATTCTTGATGTGTTCTCACCGAATTGTAGCCATTGAGCGCCTTTGTGTAGTTTCCCATCTTCAGGTGTCCTGCGGCTTCATCGCAGTGGATTTTCGCATCGGCGCTGCTGTTCGCGTTTTGGACCCCTCTGTCCTTGCCTCCTGGTCCCTTGGGCGGCATCAGAATCTTCACGGATGTACTGGCTGCCAACAGGGGTACCAACCGTTTCAGCCACATAATCTCACAGCACACACAGGCCTATAACCAAATCCCTTTCTACCCGAAACTTTCCGTTTATATTTGTGTGTGAACGCTTAAATTGTTTTGATCTTGGACTGTCTCATGGTCAGTTACTCTAGGTAGAACCCAAGTGAGAGAATTCAAAAACAAAGTTCTGTTTATTTACCTAAGAGAATCGGGTTAAAAAAATAGAAACGATTTCAAAACCAGAAGCTAGTGACTATGCTAGGATTCTGAAATAATTTAAAAAATGAGTTGTTGATACAGAAACTTGAAGATAATATTGCAAGGAAGATTTCGGAATTAGATTGTTGTGAAACCAAAGATGTTAAACCATCTTCATTCTGCATTTGGTTCTTACGAATTTGTCTGCAGTAACTTCTGGAGCCACCTGATAATTCAGTAGTTCACCAAAGCAGAAAGAAAACTGTAACAAAAAAGTCGAAGTTTTCTTTTCTATCCTGTTCGTTATCGGTTGTTTTCATATGTGAATTACGCGTAATTCTATTTGCTGCATCATTAGAGACGCATTATGGAAAGGGAAGGAATAAAGACACTGGGACGGAAATAATAATTTCAGACTGGCTAAAGACATTCGCCCCTAACTCGTGTGCCACGATTTGGTGCCAGGCTCCCCATATCCCAACGCCATTACGAAGTGTGAGCGCGAACGTGTAACATACAGCTTTGGACGCATGGTTCGTCTGGACACCGGCGCTTGAGTACAGTGACCTATGTAATGGCCCAGAAAATAAATCATTAGCGACTGAAACCGGAAAACTTTGCCCCCAGATAAGTATATTTAACAATTTTAAGTGAGTTGAAAAATAGTTGAAGAACAATTCACGACTCGTTACTCACATTTATGTCTGGAAACTCATCCAATTCTTGATTGTCGAGTTTTACAACGGAGAGTTTTACTCTGTCCTTGCCTCCTGGTCCCTTGGGCGGCATCAGAATCTTCACGGATGTACTGGCTGCCAACAGGGGTACCAACCGTTTCAGCCACATAATCTCACAGCACACACAGGCCTATAACCAAATCCCTTTCTACCCGAAACTTTCCGTTTATATTTGTGTGTGAACGCTTAAATTGTTTTGATCTTGGACTGTCTCATGGTCAGTTACTCTAGGTAGAACCCAAGTGAGAGAATTCAAAAACAAAGTTCTGTTTATTTACCTAAGAGAATCGGGTTAAAAAAATAGAAACGATTTCAAAACCAGAAGCTAGTGACTATGCTAGGATTCTGAAATAATTTAAAAAATGAGTTGTTGATACAGAAACTTGAAGATAATATTGCAAGGAAGATTTCGGAATTAGATTGTTGTGAAACCAAAGATGTTAAACCATCTTCATTCTGCATTTGGTTCTTACGAATTTGTCTGCAGTAACTTCTGGAGCCACCTGATAATTCAGTAGTTCACCAAAGCAGAAAGAAAACTGTAACAAAAAAGTCGAAGTTTTCTTTTCTATCCTGTTCGTTATCGGTTGTTTTCATATGTGAATTACGCGTAATTCTATTTGCTGCATCATTAGAGACGCATTATGGAAAGGGAAGGAATAAAGACACTGGGACGGAAATAATAATTTCAGACTGGCTAAAGACATTCGCCCCTAACTCGTGTGCCACGATTTGGTGCCAGGCTCCCCATATCCCAACGCCATTACGAAGTGTGAGCGCGAACGTGTAACATACAGCTTTGGACGCATGGTTCGTCTGGACACCGGCGCTTGAGTACAGTGACCTATGTAATGGCCCAGAAAATAAATCATTAGCGACTGAAACCGGAAAACTTTGCCCCCAGATAAGTATATTTAACAATTTTAAGTGAGTTGAAAAATAGTTGAAGAACAATTCACGACTCGTTACTCACATTTATGTCTGGAAACTCATCCAATTCTTGATTGTCGAGTTTTACAACGGAGAGTTTT